AGTGATGATTGGCGGAGCGCAGAGCTCTGGATGGCTGGAGTGAGGAATGAGGGAGTAAATTTACTCCCGAGACTTCGGATAACACCACGAACCAAAAAAGCAAAGCTCAAGTGGTTTGTACCACATGCAGTTAAATTACAACCAAGAACTCAAACTATAACACAACTTGTTTATCATAAAAATATACAGTCCTGTTTAAAAACCAACCACATTCCAAAGGAACAGAATTTCCCAAAAGATTGTTATGACAATGCATTTGGTAAACATTGCATGAATATAAGTAATGCTACAATGTGTATTTTTCTATACACAGAGATTAGATGATGTGAAACAAATAAAATTATTGGCACTCTTTGAAAATCTTTCTCCTGCGACGATTTTTCTTTCACTGGGGTAGAAAGAATTTTATCTGGGTCTCACTCAAATGTTTGCCTGCAGCAAAATGGTATGATTGATATGCATCAGGATGTATGTCCTTTGCAATTGTGAAGTGACTGAAAGATTAATGACAATGTAATGGCTGTGAATTTCAATTGTACTTTCTAGTTAATCCACTGCATATTAACAATATAAGGACATTAAGAGTCCAGTCTACTTCCAGCATATTTACTCCTGCAGAATATTGTAACAATAGCCTTAGGAATAGTTTAGCATAGCAGTCATTGCAGTTTATTGGCAATAATTTTACGTTGAAATATTATCTGGATACTTGTTAACCTCTAATTTTAATGAATTCAAATTTGTGTGTTTTTAATCAGTGTTTTACACAAAAAGAACTTTAAATCATTAGTGTGGGGAAGTGCTTGAAATGCAGATTTTTTTCCCGAATGAATGACATTACCACGGTCAGATAGTTAAGCAGACTTTGTTTCGAGAAGACTCTTGTATCAGGGTCGTTCTGAGGGAAGTATGAGTAATGAAATATAATTTTACTCCTTGCTTAAACAGGTCAAAAGGGGATTCATCATGAACCATGTTTGTCTTTAAACAGGACTGTATATTCATCATGAGTACAACCCTCAACATCTGACATTTTCAATAGTAATCCTTGCATTTGATGTGATAGAACATTTAATGAGATGATTGTATTATTCAATCTTACAAGTGGTCCAGGAGCTAATAAGCTTTTTAAAGCCACAGCTCTGGACTTGTGCAGTAGCCGTTGTGCACGAATCGCGCTGAACTATCAATTTCTCCGAAAATCAATGGCATCACTGCGTATTTGGTGTCGGAAAAATGTTAGTAAATAGACATTAAAACTGCAACAAAAGTGATCTAGGTAGCAGAATTATTGTTTATTGTTAATAGTCCAGTTTACATAAATTGTGCAGCAGGGAGTGGAGTCTTCATATGGTTTGACAACATCAAAATGGTTTATTTGCCTTTTGTTTTGGTCAGCCGGATGTCTGACACATGTGGAAACCGATTACCCTGCTTAATAGTATCCAAACCAGAATTTAACGTCCTGTAGGGTATTGATTAGTGCAGTCGTCTTGCAAGCGATAGGACCTGGGTTCAATTCCTGGGCAGGGCAAAATGTTATGCAAGTTTCCTTACCTAACAGTAAGCAGGAAAAAAAAAGGGCAAAATACTGCAGATGCTTGAAATCTGAAATAAAAACAGAAGTCGCCGGGAACACTCCGCAGGTCAGGGAGCATCTACCGAGAGAGGAAGGTGAGTTAACGTTTCAGGTCGATGATCTTTGTCAATGATTAGGAACCCGGTTATTAGTCAATTGGCCGATTGTTTTTCCTGGGGTAATAATCACTTCAAATTTAAATAAATAATAGGACTATGATCGCTCAATCCACGACTGTTTGTGGGACGCTGCTGTGTGCAATTGGCTGCCGTGTTTCATCCATAAAATACAGTCAATTCATTTTACAGTATATTCTGTGAAGCACTTTGATACATCTCAAAGTACTATATCAAATGGAAGTATTATTATTATTATTATTGCACATTCTCTCCTCAGACGGACACACCCTGTTTACCTAATTGGCAAGATATTAGCTGCAGATTGGCAGGAGCCAAGGTTTGGGAACCACAAGTTTAAACTGCATCAAGACTTTGGCTATCATTGAAGAGCAATGAAAACAACCAGATTTCCCTCTGCTCCTTATCAGTGCAGTTCCGAAGTTCAGTGTCCGAAGTTAAAATTTGTATCGACCATAACTCCCAGGTACGGATATGAATCGGGTTATAATTGGGATCCATGCCCCTTGTATCTTCCAATTGATACATTCAAAGTCCCCCCTTAAGCTGTGTAGAGCCGTAATACTTTGTTTAATGAAGTTAATAATAATAATAATAATAATCCTTGCATTTGATATAGCGCTTTTCACGTCGGGAGGACGTCCCAAAGCGCTTCACAGAACACACTGTAAAGTGAATTGACTGTATATTTGTGGGCGAACGCGGCAGCCGATTGCGCACAGCAATGTCCCACAAACAGTCGTAGATTGAAAATGACCAATTTATTATTGTTTTTGGTTTTGGAGGGACTATTATTAGGCTCTGTGTGGAGTAAGGAAACTTGCCCAAGGTTTCGCCCTCTGCCTGGAATTGAACTCAGGTCTCTCACTTGCAAAGCGAGTGCTCTAACCACTGAGCTCCAGGACTCCACAACTGAGCTACAGGACTCCACCCTAACCCTAAGTTAATAAAAATATTTAGAACATTCTGGGACATCCACCATCACGTCCCTTTGAATGACCCAGTTTTTAAGATTCTTGGATTTCTGGAACAAGCCGGCTGGCACGTCACACGCTGTCCTCTAATAGGCTTTTCCACAGTGCTGAAGGCAGACGTCCATCAAATAGCTGATGAGGAGAGTCCAGGGCTGGAAGGAGTTACTTGCAGTCCAGGTTTGTGAATGCTTGCTCATGTATCCGAGACGGACGAGCGGTGAGAAGCGCATCAAATAATAAAACGGCCCTGTAGGAGATGATTTGAAGCACAGAATCATAAATAATTATGGTACAGAAGGAGACTGTTAGGCCCATTGGGTCACTGATGCGTTGCATTAGTGTTTGCCCCTCTGATGAAGCTCTCTGAAAGGGTTATTTTATTATCTGTCAGACAGAATTCCCTATTCTCCCCCCACACCCCCACTCCCTGAATACCATTCATTTGAAATATGCATCTCCCCGTTCCCCTGTTTGAAGACTGAGGTGGATAGCAAATTGTTAGGTCGGGGTATTAAGGGAAACAGGGTAAGGGCGGGTAACTGGACATCAGCCCTGATCTTACGTGGAGTCCTGTAGCTCAGTGGTTAGAGCACTCGCTTTGCAAGCGAGTGACCTGAGTTCAATTCCAGGCAGAGGGCGAAACCTTGGGCAAGTTTCCTTACTCCACACGGAGCCCTAATAATAATCCCTCCAAAAAAAAACCAAACCGATAATAAATCGGTCATTTTCAATCCGCGGCTGTTTGTGGGACAGACGCTGCTGTGCGCAATTTGGCCGCCGCGTTTCGCCCACAAGTATACGGTCAATTCACTTTACGGCGTAGTCTGTGAAGCGCTTTGAGACGTCTCGAAGACGTGATCAGGCGTTGTGTCAAAATGTAAGGATTATTATGATCATCATCATCACCATCACCCTTCCGAATGGTGTTTGCAGGGAGTGCCGAAATAATCTAATCCCAGCGGTTTGACAACCCGTCTGCCGGAATGCCATGAATGTGCAGCGAGGATTGCGGCTTCTCTTGCTGTGACCTGCCAGAGGGAGAGCCAGAGGGAGGGGGAGAGGGAGGGAGGGAGGGAGAGAAAGAGGGAGAGCCAGCCAGAGGGAGGGAGGGAGGGAGAGCCAGCCGGAGGGAGGGGGAGAGGGAGGGAGAGCCAGCCAGAGGGAGGGGGAGAGGGAGGGAGAGCCAGCCAGAGGGAGGGGGAGAGGGAGGGAGAGCCAGCCAGAGGGAGGGGGAGAGGGAGGGAGAGCCAGCCAGAGGGAGGGGGAGAGGGAGGGAGAGCCAGCCAGAGGGAGGGGGAGAGGGAGGGAGAGCCAGCCAGAGGGAGGGAAAGAGGGAGGGAGGGAGAGAAAGAGGGAGGGAGGGAGAGAAAGAGGGAGGGAGGGAGAGAAAGAGGGAGGGAGAGAGAAGAAAGAGGGAGGGAGAGAAAGAGGGAGGGAGGGAGAGAAAGAGGGAGGGAGGGAGAGAAAGAGGGAGGGAGGAAAGGGAGGGAGAGAGAAAGAGGGAGGGAGGAAAGGGAGGGAGAGAAGAAAGAGGGAGGGAGGAAAGGGAGGGAGGGAGAGAGAGAAAGAGGGAGGGAGGAAAGGGAGGGAGGGAGAGAGAGAAAGAGGGAGGGAGGAAAGGGAGGGAGGGAGAGAGAGAAAGAGGGAGGGACGGAGGAAGAGGGAGGGAAAGAGAAAAAGAGGGAGGGAGTGAGAGAAGAGGTGAACGAGAGAGTGAAGAAAGAGGGGGGGGGGGGGGAGAGAGGAAGGAGAGAGGGCGGAGGGAGGGAGGGAGGGAGGGAGGGAAACAAAGAGGGAGGAAGAGAAAGAGGGAGGGAAACAGAGAAAAAGGGAGGGAGTGAGAAGAGGTGAACGAGAGAGTGAAGAAAGAGGGGGGGGGGGAGAGAGAGGAAGGAGAGAGGGCGGAGAGAGAGAGAGAGAGAGGGAGGGAGGGAGGGAGGGAAACAAAGAGGGAGGGGAGGAGGAGCCGCCCGGCGCCGTCACTGACTGCGGGCCGACCGCCATTTTGTGGAGGGGAGCGGGACACGGGCTGTTCCCGGAGCCACAGAGCGAGAGAGAGAGAGAGAGAGAGAGCTGTTCGGCCTCGTCTCTCTTTCCTCCTCATCCTCCTCTTCCTCCTCCTCCACCACCACCACCAGCAGCAGCTCGAATCCCCCCTCCACCCCCCCGGTGGGTGTCGTTTCTTTTTTTTTCGTTTTTGTGTGTGGGGGGGGGAAGGAAAGAAAAGAAAAAAAAATTGTATGATTGCTAATTAAAAAAAATAAAAAAATCCAGAAAATCTCCCGCGGAGAGAGAGAGAGAGAGAGAGAAAATTTAAGATATTTTTTTGAGAGGAAAAAAAAAGTACCGGCGAACGACCTACTGCTGCTGCTGCTGTTGGCTGTTCCTTCCTTCCTTCCTCCCCTCCCTCCCTCCCTCCTCTCTCTCTCCTCCCTTCCTTCCTTCCTCCCCTCTCTCTCCCCCTCACCTCACCCGCCATGGACGAGAAGGTCTTCACCAAGGAACTGGACCAGTGGATCGAGCAGCTGAACGACTGCAAACAGCTGACGGAGAGTCAAGTCAAGACGCTGTGCGAGAAGGTGGGGTGAGGAGACCCCGGGGGTGTGTGTGGGGGGTGTTGGCGGCTGAGGGGGGTGGTGGGGGGTGTGTGTGGGTGTTGTTGGCGGCTGAGGGGGGTGTGGGGGTTGTTGGCGGCTGAGGGGGGTGAGGGCTGTGTGTGGGGGGGGTGTTGGCGGCTGAGGGGGGTGTGGGGGTTGTTGGCGGCTGAGGGGGGTGAGGGCTGTGTGTGGGGGTGGTGTTGGCGGCTGAGGGGTGGTGGGGGGTGTGTGTGGGTGTTGTTGGCGGCTGAGGGGGGGGGGGGGGGGGTGTGTGTGGGGGTTGTTGGCGGCTGAGGGGGGTGGGGGGGGTGTTGGCGGCTGAGGGGGGTGGTGGGGGGTGTGTGTGTGGGGGGTGTTGGCGGCTGAGGGGGCGCCTGAGGTCAGGCGGGAAAGGTTTCCGGGGACCCGGCGGCTCGCGCGGTCCCTCCTTTTTTTTTCTTTTAACCTCCTCTCGGGCCGAGGCCCGACCGGTGCCGCCCGGTCTCTCTCTCTGTGACCTCTGACGGCGGCTTTTTTTCCCCGTGTAACTCGGGCTTTTAATTTTATTTGGTGTGAGAGAGAGAGAGAGAGAGTGGGGGGTTGGTGGGGAGAGAGGAGAGAGAGAAGATAAGGGGTGGAAGAGAGAGAGAGAGAGGGAGAGGGGACAGGTCAGGTCGCAAAGCTGAGGCGGGTTATGAATGAGAGACATCAGGGAGAGAGAAAAGGGGGAGAAGGGGTGTGTGGGTGACTGACTAAGTTGGTTTGGCTTCGGTTGGGGGGGCCTGGGAGCCGGTATTTATGTATGTATTTCTGGTCTCTCTCTCTGTGTGTGTGTGTGTGTGTGAGTGTCTGTGTTAATGTTATAAACTCCCTCCTCCCTCTTCCCCCTTCACGACGCACCTAAAATGGCGCCTTTCGATCAGGATCGGCCTCAGAGCGGCACCACACGACAACCCTGAAGGTTAGCTCCCCCGCCCCAGCCTCACAGACACCCACACAACCGGCCTGGGAGTCGACTGTCACTCCATCTCATCTTATCTTCAGGCCCTTGAGTTGATTCCCCTTCTTCCCCCTCCTCCCCCCCCCCCCAAAAAAAAAAAATAAAATACATTTTTATAGAGGGGTTTTGATCTGTCAAAAATTCATGATTTGTGTTGTTGTTGTTGTTGTTGTCCCATTGACAAGGCAGGTCAAGAGCTGGTTTCGTTTCTGATGGGACCCCCCTCCCCTTTTTTTTAAACTGGGTTGACAATCGATTAATCAATCGATGGATCAATCAAGTCAATCAGTCGATCCATCCCCTCTTGGGTTTCCATTCAAATCGGTTGCATCCCCGCCCACCGTTATGCTGGATTATAATCGATTAATCCTGCAGAATGAGTGTGCGCGTGCGTGTGTGCGCGCGTAAAAATAATGAGGTGAGTTGAGCGACTTATCCCAGTCAAGTCGTGTCAAGTGTTGAGATTCAGGGCTTCGTATCCGTTAAATGGAGTGCTTTATTGGAGCAGGTGTGTGTGTGTGTGCGTTTAAAAGTAAGTTGACAATAATCAAAAAGTGAAGATAAAAGGACGGAATGCGCACGCTTTGCAGACTGCATCGTCATGTTTCACATCGTTATAGGGCATTTCTAATGGAACTTAAAAACTGCCGATGCCGGGGGCTTCTCTTCCCGCAATTTGGTAACAGAAGAGTTTTTTTTATATATACGTAAAAACAAAATTGCCAAACAGAAACATTTCATAGAATTGCACATCCGAAAAGGGTATGCCAATTCGTGGCGTGTTTCACTGCCCGTTGATAGGTAAGTGTATTTTGTTTTATATATAAATGTATATAGGGTTTTATGATAGGCAATGTGATGTCTTAAATATCGTAAGTCATGTTGACCTGATTACTGATGATTGAGTTATGGGTAACCTCATGGGTAAAAATATTGATTGAATTAATTATTTAGGCGACCACTGTGTATATATTCAAAGGAAGCAAGATAATGAATTTGGCTTGAGCCCAAGAAATATTATAGTACTGTAGTTCATCCAGCTTTCTATGATTAGTCTGATGTCACACTTGGGAGTGTGCAATATGCACACCCATGCACATCAACCACCCGAAAAAATAGAGCATTTTATCTATTTGCAATTTTAAAGCAATCACCAGGACATGGCATCGGTTGACCTTGATTTGATAGGAGACTTTTTCTGTTGACTACTTAGTGTTTTTGCTGGTTTTGATGAGATGCTGAAAATTGACAATTTTTGATACAGTCATTGAGGTTTAATTGCCATAGTTTTTGAGGTATGAGTTTAGATACTTTTTGCTGCTTTCAGACAATGATCTCAGGACTTAAAATTGATTTTTGGTCTTATCACAAATTTAGTAATCGACAAACCATGGTATATTTAGGCACCAACACTGATCATTTCATACGCATAGATTTTTTTTAACCAATTGGAGAGCATCTTATGTACATCCATGACTTTATATACAACTAAACTTATTTTCTTCCTGCTCTGTCTATCTATTGTTATTAAACAGTTTAAACCATTTTCTAGATGACGTCCAGCAATTACATGGTTTCCACTTAGCATTTACCCCATAGTAGAAAGGCTGAAATAATACTTGCATTGCTGTATTATACATCTTGATGTCAAATCTTTTTAAAGCACTTGATGTAATTTGTGACTAATGCGGACCAATTCAGAAGCTAACCTGCACCTATAAACATCCCACAATCAGCAATGAGATAATTGAACAAGAACTTCTGACTCACTGTGTCATGGAATTTTTAACATCCACCTAATTCACAATAATTAAATGGCACATCATTTTATTCCCAGGACAACACTGCAACAAATCGCCATTTCCCTCAGTGTTGTTCTATAAGATTAGCCTAGATTATAAATTTATAAACTTCCAAGTCTTGCTGTAGGATCCAGAAATGATCTGGAAGTTTTCAGCAACAGGATCTGAAGTGTGACTTGCCATTCTATGGGACTTATGTTATTGGCATTAGTTACAAGTTATGCTTGCTTTTAAGTTTGCCAAATCAAGTGACACTTGCTCCACTCTCTTAGTTTAAATGTTTTACGCAAATATTCACTTGAGTGTTTCCTCCTTTTCCCCCAACTAATCACAGAAGCTCAGTTGGTTTCAGGAAGAGTGCAAATTGATGGGAGGGTGATCCCACTCATTATTATCCGGGGAATTCTGTTCCCCCACATAAAGTGACCACGTAATACCAGAGAGCTTCTGCTGCCAGGTTGTATTGCTTTGTCTAAAGGGTAGTAAGGATTGGATATTGGTTGATGGAAATAATTGCTTTAAGGGAAAGTAAAGGTTAAAGGGGTAGAGTTATTTTCAGCCATAACCTGCATTTATACAGTGCATTTCATGTGGGTGGCATCTCACATTTTTTTGTTATTTATTTGCTACGGAGGATTATTGCATGTTGGGATTGTTGAAAAGTGAGACAGTTCCCAAAGGGAGGAATAGAGAATATAGGTGACCTGATTTCCAACATCGCTTAACACTGGATAAAGAAAGTAGTAAAGAATACAAAAATATTAACTGCAGGAATCAAAAGGCTGGCCAGCCATTTTCATTCAGCGCTCATGTAGAGCATGAATGTAGGACAACAAAAAAGGAATGTTCATTTTACTAAGGATCTCAGGATCACTAACTTCGATATAAATTTGTGAGTGACTTGTGTTGAATTGTCTGTATTCCATTCTTCCCCACATAGAGGCACTTTGCTTGCCCTTCTTTTGGTGGGTTACTGTACTAAGTACTCTTGTTTATGTGGCAGCTGCGTTTTATTTTGCTAAATTGGCAGCATTTTGATCTGCAAATGTTGCCAATTTACGAAAAAAATGAGGACAAATGCCGGACATTGGGTTTAGATCTCTTCAGAATTAAAACTTGCAGAAGGGACCATTGTGCTTTGTCTGTATTTAAACTTCCACCGTCAGCTGGTTAATACAGTGTAGCGCATCAGTTGTGCAATGTTCCCAATGTTCATTTGACTCGGATATAATCTCTCAACCAGTTGAACTGTACAGGACAAAATGTGACCTAGATCCAAGGGAGGCATTTTCTATGGTAGCTTTACTGTTAACAAAAATTCAAACACGAGTTTTTGTATTCTGATTACAATACTTTTTTTTTCCTGAAGTGATTACTATCTATTCCCCTGTTCCTGCACCTGATTTTTACGTGGAGGTTTGTTGGTCAGGATACCGGGAAAAACTCTTTTCAAATCGTGCCACAAATTCTTTAAGGTTTTATCTAAGCAGGCAGGTGGAACCTTTTTTATTTTTTGCATCTCACCCAGAGAACAGCTCAGGATGTCATTTCCCCCGATTCAAGGCAACCGTCAAATGTGGGAGTAAAGCAAGAGTTCCTCAGACGATGCAGTGCATCCTTCAGGTGAAACATTAAACCATTTCCCCCCGTTGGTCTGTTCAGGTGGTTGTTAAAGATCCCATAGCACGACAAACTCGGACAGGTCTTTATAAATCATATATTCAAATGCCTAAGTCGTACATTTCTTCGAGTCCCATTCAGTTTCCCATCAAAACCACTTTGGTTTCTTTGCAAGACTTGCATCAACCACCTCCAAACCCGTATCGTTGCTCCCCTACTCTTGCTTTACTCCCACATTTGACGGTTGCCTTGAATCGGGGGAAATCACATCCTGATCTGTCGACGCATGTGCAGAAGAACTTAATTTCCGGTGATTCCAATGCTTGCCAGAAGTGCGTGCGGCAGGCAGCTGGTCAAGACTCATTAAATCGCGGGAAATTTGGAGTCCTGTAGCTCAGTGGTTAGAGCACTCGCTTTGCAAGCGAGAGACCTGAGTTCAATTCCAGGCAGAGGGCGAAACCTTGGGCAAGTTTCCTTACTCCACACAGAGCCTAATAATAATCCCTCCAAAACCCAAAACAATAATAAATTGGTCATTTTCAATCTACGACTGTTTGTGGGACATTGCTGTGCGCGATCGGCTGCCGCGTCCGCCCACAAATATACAGTCAATTCACTCTACAGTGTGTTCTGTGAAGAGCTTTGGGACGTCCTCCTGACGTGAAAACCGCTATATCAAATGCAAGGATTAAAATGTAGTCTTGACCCATCATTGCATGAGCACTTGCTGGCTCGTTAAGTAAAATAGGTTTTTAAAATTAATATATTTAAATTTGCATCCATTCCCCAAAATGTAATTGTTAATTATTCTCAAGTGATCCAGGTAAAGTTCAGAACTCTGAAGACTTTGCCATTTGCCCACATCTGTTGGATCTTGTGTGAGAAATTGAATACTGTCTGTTGCTTCCTTCTTGGAATAATTTGAGCTGATAGTGGAAATGATGATTCTGAAATTGATGGTCCCATTCCGAAAAATCCGTGTTCAATAAACCCACATGTTATTTCTTTGCTTAAAAAAAGATATGTTTTGGTAAGCAGATTTGTAGGTTTTTTTTTGTGACAGGCATTTGGGTGGAACTAATATATTGTTTATCCTCCCACTGGAGATTGTTAGCATAATGCTGCACCTGATACAATGGATAATGACTAAGCAATATAGCAGTGACATAGTTCAAGACTGGTAAAATGTGTTTAATCAGGGATGTTCAAAACTATTTTCACATTTACTTGACTGGTAGCCCAGTTCCTGCCATCTTCTGTAATGTTGAGTATTATTCATTTAAATCGGAGTGGACCAACTGGCGTTCCACAGGCCGCTTGCGGCCCAGCTGGTGATGTTATCTGGCACGAGACCATTTCCAACTTCCACTCCCTCCCCGGTCAGCGTTCTCCCATGGCAATGGCAGAAGCCGGCGGTTGGGAGGACGCAGCGTGGAAAGTGAAATTACCCGCTGTTCCTGCAGTCTTGTCAGGAAGGCAAACATGTCTCCTTATCCATTGCCGCCTTAGCAACCACCAGGTGGCTCTGGGGGGAAGAGGGGTGCAGGGGGCCAGAGAGAGTGATTGAATGAGAGAAAGGGGAAGTCGTTCAGAGAAGGAGGAGAGTGTGTGAGAGAGAGGGAGTGAGATAGAGAGGAAGTGAGATTGAGAGAAGTAGAGAATGTGAGGGGGAGACAGAAACGGGGATAATAATAATAATAATCCTTGCATTTGATATAGCGCTTTTCACGTCGGGAGGACGTCCCAAAGCGCTTCACAGAACACACTGTAAAGTGAATTGACTGTATATTTGTGGGCGAACGCGGCAGCCAATTGCGCACAGCAATGTCCCACAAACAGTCGTAGATTGAAAATGACCAATTTATTATTGGTTTTTTTTTTTGGAGGGATTATTATTAGGCTCTGTGTGGAGTAAGGAAACTTGCCCAAGGTTTCGCCCTCTGCCTGGAATTGAAATCAGGTCTCTCACTTGCAAAGCGAGTGCTCTAACCACTGAGCTACAGGACTCCAAAGGACTCCAGGATGGAGGGGGTGAGAGAGTTTGTGGGAGAGAGTGGGAGAGGGAAGAGTGAGGGATTAGAGAGTGTGTGCGACAGAGGGGGAAAGAGAAACAAAAAGTAAGAGAGCAGAGAGAGAGAAGTGAGGGCAGTGTTTCGTGGTTCATTGTCAGGACAGACAATTGGAGCTTCCCTCGGCCACCGAGGTGGTGTGGGGGAGGGAATGATGACCGAAAGCACGGTCAAATAGGTACATCTTGAGACAGAGTTAAATGAGGTGAGGGAGGGAGCAAGTCAAAGGGACTGAGTTGGAGGGACTCTAGTATGGAGTTCCAGAGGGCATTTGCAGAATGACTGAACACTGGTGGGTCACATAAAGCAGAGGACTCATAAAGTGGACCGATGTATGTTGAATGAAGGAAGTGGTTGTTTTGCTAAGGTTGAAGGAATTCATGGGGTGAGGGCCTGTGGTGGTTTTTGAGTTTTTGATTTTATTTGATAGCAAGTTGGTTGTCATCTACATACATGTGGAAATGGATTATACTATTATATAATTTACAATACAGTAAAACTTGCATAAATTGCCTCTTAGGAACAGGAGATTCCAGTAGCTTCCCAACAACTAATGTTAAGTGCTCTGAGACGCTACCTCGTGTGGAGGGTGCTCTGTAAGTGCAAGTTGTTGTTAAGCTGGCGGGTCTGGTGGTTACTTGGTTTCTCCCTCCCTTCTTAATAATGGAATAGCATTTGCAATTTGCAATTTCCTCCCCTATTCATTTTAATGCTCTGCTGTAAATCATCAGGTCCTGGAGATTTGTCTATTTTAAGTCCCATTATTTTCTCCCATTACCTTTTTTAAAAAATTATATTAAATGCAATGAGTACCTCATTTTTAGGTTCCCTTGTGCTGCTGTTATTTTGTCCTCTTAACTGTGAAAACGGATGTAAAGTATTCATTTAACAAGTTTGCCATATCCTTATTGTCCATTATAGTCTCACCTACATCTCATCTTTAATGGGCCCACATTTCCCTTTACCATTCTCTTTTGCACCTGAGCTGGGAGTTGGGTTTGGAAGGGGGGTTGGAGTGTGTGGTGTGGGGTGTGTTTGTGGCAGGGAAAGATCATTAAAGGCGCGGTTGAAGAAGGTCTTAAGACAAACCTTGAAAGGGTTGAGGCGAAGAGACTCTGGGATAAAGCTCCAAGGAGTGGAGCAGATAGGCTAAAAGCCCGATTTTCAATGGTGGGAGTGGCAGGCTATTGCGCACCGGAAAAAGGGAGGGGGTAGGCTTGTAGAAGGCAGGTGGAGCAAGACCATGGAGGGATTTAAACGATGAGGATCTTGGATTCAATCCTGGGCAATGTTTTTAAAGCATATTTGCACTGTTTCCCCCTTTGGACATTAATGCACCCATATTTTAACTTTTTCTACAGAGAAATTCATCGGTATTTTCTGTTACAATCTATGGCAAAGTGTCTAATGAGCAGTCCATGTTGAGACTGAAGTAATTATGAATTGATGAATGGCATGGTAAAGACTGCATATGAAGATGAATTTGCCACTGGCTTACTAATTGGGTGCTTAAGACATCTGTCTCGCTGTACTCTTTATTTGATTAGATTATTTTACTTACCCATTTTAAATTTAAAAAAGTAATATTATAATACATGAACATATATATTTTGCAATTTAAAATTTTAAAGACTAAATTTTGGACTGTGTTTGTTGGACTTGAATAATTCATCTGGTTTTGTTTTGTGCCTTATCGTGTGTTTTTACAAAATAGTGTTCAAGGTTCATTGACTTTTAATTTGGGAATTTTGCCAATTTCAGCATCGAAGATAATTCAAATCACGATCATCCATAAATGTAATCTTGTAATTAGTATTTATGTACTCATTGTTCAGGTTTGCTCCCATCTAGCAGGAATGATTTTTAGCTCATCTCACTTTATTCAATTTAATTTTTCAGGCAAAAGAAATCTTGACAAAGGAATCCAATGTGCAGGAAGTGCGATGTCCTGTTACAGTCTGTGGGGATGTCCATGGTCAGTTTCATGACCTCATGGAGCTTTTCAGAATTGGAGGCAAATCACCAGATACAAATTACCTTTTTATGGGAGATTATGTTGACAGAGGTTATTATTCCGTTGAAACAGTTACGCTGCTAGTAGCTCTAAAGGTATGTCATTTTCATTATGTAAATGTTTAAAATTATAAGNTTTTTTTAGTATTTCTGTAATGCAATAAATTAATGAGTGGTAAATCGGGTATTTTTACAATTACTCAGCTGAAATCTATTGTCAAAACACGACTAGTTTCAGAAAGTTAAGCAAGCATCTGACAGATGAAACCAACAATGGAACGTTGATTACCTACCTGCACTCCAGCTGTCTACTTATTCACATCTGGTTCTGCTAAGTGAATATGCGGCTACAAGAACACAACAGTCAAAAGTAATTCAGTTGTGAGTTTGCACATGGCGTTCCCAAGGGCACAATTTAGCTGTGCAGTTAGACTGAGTTGGCAGTAACTGCTTATTTAAAGGCTTGGTAATCATGTATGCAACTGTGTGCATATGTCCAACTATTTTTGGGAGTGATAATGCAAAGATTTTATACTTTTGTACAGTGTAGGGGTAATCAGAAAGACGGGTTGAGAGACAGATAGAAAGTGAGACGTGGAGAAAAGGGCACAGTAAGGAAAAAGATACAGGTCTTGTACCAAGCTACCCCTGGTGCAACTTTTTTAGTTAGACCTGTTACTGATTTGTACTTAGTCTAATGTGTGATTACCGATACTGTTTGCTTGTCTACGATCCAGTCATTCTGAATTAGATTGAATGCAGATTAATTATAGTTAACACTTGGTTTCCATGGGATGTGCCTATTCAGGGTGGCACATTTCGAGTAGATTTGGGTCACTGAATAGATATCGGGCACCTTTTTAAAACGAAAAATAATAATTTGGAGACTTATTTTAGCTGCAAATATCAAAAAAAAGGTTGATTTTGTGAAACATGAAAGCATCAAACCAGCATTTGCTTATGTTAAATGTATTGTATTTGATGTATGATTCATTAATGGAAAGTTGTTTTTCAGGTACGTTATCGTGAGCGTATCACAATACTTAGAGGAAACCATGAGAGCAGACAGATCACACAAGTATATGGGTTCTATGATGAATGTTTAAGGAAATACGGAAATGCCAATGTATGGAAATATTTTACAGATCTCTTTGATTATCTTCCGCTGACTGCCTTGGTGGATGGCCAGGTAAATACAGCTTGGATTATATATATTAGTTGTGGCTAAAGTTTACTTTTGTATTGTTTCATGGAATTAAAATGATTTAAAGACTTGAGTGCATAATCACCAAACTGATTATTCTTTGCAATGCATTTACTGATCAAACTGAGCGATACAGTTAAGGATTGCTCATGAGCTTAAGTTGCATGGGTGACACCTATGTTTACAGCAAGATGGCCGACTGCTTGCTTGGTAACAGAAAGTCAGAATTGTGTCAGTCCGTGGCGGTCCTTGTAATCTGTTTCCTGAGCCAGACAGGTCCACTGCTGATGACAGAGCAGCCAGCCTAGCTCATCGGCAGTTCCTGGGATCTGGGATTCTTCCCATTCACTCCTGTTGATCCTACAAGCTAAAGCCCTAATGGATAGGGTGGTCCTAGATGGATAAGCAGTGGAAGCTTGCCCGGTGTCCACTTGTAGTTGACACACTCTGGAACGATGGAACTCTGTTTGGTTTGGATACCCTTAAACATGGTGCTGGGTTTCTGCACATGTCAGACACGCAGTTGACCAAAAAAAAAGTTTGCAGCAATAACAAAGGATGGGTTGCAGACCACGTGGATTTCTTTTTTCTCTTCGGGGTGTGAGGCCTGTGCATTCTAAATTTTATGAAGCAAACGGCCCTGTTAGCATAGCAATAATTTCTGTAAACCGCATTCATTTAAAATTGGCTAATTTAAAAAAATGTTTTTTTCAGATTTTCTGTCTCCATGGCGGCCTGTCTCCGTCTATAGATACCCTGGATCACATCAGAGCACTTGACCGTCTCCAAGAGGTTCCACATGAGGTATATCCTGATTTCTGAAGGGGGAAAGGATATTCTGCTTGACTTGTATATGACTGCTTACCTCATCAACAACAACAAATTACATTTGTACAGCGCCTTTCATGTCAGGAGGACGTCCCAAGGCGCTGGACAGTCAGGGATCCGCACCGGAGTTGGGATCAGGAGGGCGGGGAGGGTAGGGATAGGTGGGTGACCAAAGTCAAGGTCGAAGGAGGCAACGGAAGGGGCGAGCGGAGGGACTGTGGGATGGAGTTCCAAAGGGTGGGGGCAGAGAGGCTGAAGGCCCGCCTGGCAATGGTGGTGCGAGCGAAGTGGCAGACGTGAAGCAGGCCGGAACTCGCTGAGCAGAGAGAGTGGGCAGGTTGGTAGAGGGTTAGGAGGTCGCAGAGGTAGGGCGGTGCGAGACCGTGGAGGGCTTTGAAGGTGAGGACCAGAATCTTGAAATGTAAATCCTCACTTGTTTTCCCCCCTGTATTTTTAGGGTCCAATGTGCGACTTGCTGTGGTCAGACCCAGATGACCGCGGAGGTTGGGGTATCTCGCCTAGGGGTGCTGGTTACACCTTTGGCCAGGATATTTCTGAGACTTTCAATCATGCGAATGGCCTTACCTTGGTTTCTCGAGCTCACCAGCTGGTGATGGAGGTAAAAATAAGGGCACTTTTTAAAAAGATATTAAGTACCAATTTTAGAGACTTCACTAGATAAATTAATTGGGATTAAATAACATTGAGAGTTGTGTACTTAACATTTGCATACCAAACATTATTACATTAATAATACTTATTATTAAAATCATTGCATATTTATAAAGTTATAATATCTTATAACTATGTTATATTTTATTAGCTTTTTTACTTATTATTACATAGTGATAAGATAATCACAAGGAGAGCTTAGATTAAATGTTTTCACTTGGATTTGGGGTGTGGAATGCCCTGCCAAGTAAGGTGATAGAGGCAAAGTCCATTGTGGAGGAAGTCCAGAGGAAAGTAGCTGGGTATATGAAGGAAAGCTGGACGGATATTGAAATAAAAAAGCGTCCTGGGATTGAATGAACACCTTGTTCATATCTGGTGCAGGCTCGATGGGTAGAATGGTCTCCTTCGGTGCTGTAAATGCCAAGGATTTTACGACCCTGCATTTTATCACAAACTTACCTAATGTGCTGTGCCGCTAGTCACTCAACACTGTGTCCTCCTACCTCTGAAACGATGGTTGCCTTTGTTGCAGAATGTAATAATGGAATACAACCCTTTTCTGTTGCAGGGTTACAACTGGTGTCATGATCGCAATGTAGTAACTATCTTCAGTGCTCCGAACTACTGTTATCGATGTGGCAACCAAGCTGCAATAATGGAACTTGATGACACCCTTAAATACTCTTTGTAAGTGTTGGTCGCTGTGTATAAATTACTCCTCCATAGCATATTTGCTACCTTACAATCTTATATTTGTCCCCCTTTTGGATTCGCTGCTAAATGGAAACAACCTACCAATGTCTTCCTTAACAAATCATTTCATAATATTAAGTACCACTATCATGTCCCGTCTGGATCTTCTCAACTCGAGAAAGAAAAGCTCTACCTGTTCAATCTTTCTTGATACTGTATCCACTCATCCCAGTGCTATCATTACCTTCCTGTATTATGGTGAAGTTTTATATAAATGTAACATTTTTCTCTACTTTTATATTTAATTCCTCTGGACATGAAGCCAAGGATTCTATATACACTCTTTGGCCTTGTACTGTTCCATTTAGCGTCGTGAATCTGAATTCCTGGACCCTTTTCTCCTCTAATCTTCCCCATAGCTTTCTACCATCCAGGGTACACTCAGCTTCAATATTCTTTCTACCAAGGTGAATCGTGTCACATTTTCTTAAATTAAATTTCGTCTGCCACCTCTCTGATCATTTTGACAATCCCCATCATCTTCTCAACTGCCACATCGCCCTTTGACCCACTCGTATCATCTTGTTCTTTATTGTGTATATGAGGGTATTCCAACCTTTTGGCTGTGGCCCGTGGAGCACCCTGGTATACATCATTGAACCATTGATCAGATGCTGCTCGTATCTTGGTTTAATTTTTTCCATATTGCTTTCAATTTAATAGTAAAACCTTTATAATTGAGTCTATTGTTATAGGCTTCCAATTTAATAGTAAAATCTTTTTCCATTCCCTCCTCACAGCCTGCAGTTTGATCCAGCACCTCGCAGAGGTGAGCCACACGTCACACGCCGTACCCCAGACTATTTCCTGTAAAAGAAATCTTACATGTACAGTATTGCCATGATTAACAGTTGGCCTGACGATGTCGGAAGAGCAACAGTAACTTTAAATTGGAGGAGAATCTTGAACATTCAGATACTTGCTGTCTTCATGGACCAAAAGACGTGCCATAATAAATATAAGCCTCAGTCAACAAATGTCACACCCATTCTTTTTTTGAGCACCGATTCCGCAATGCATGCTGATGTGTGAAAGTTATGGATCAAGAAACCACGGTTTGGACCTAGAGCTCTGTTTGTAGTTACTTTTGCTTTTTCCAGAGACTGCAGAGATAAAAGATGTAAACATTAAAACCTCCACCTCGTGATAAATTTTCCATTTAGCTAGCATTACTGAGCATGACTTGTAGATAAGAAGAATAGCAGTAAACAATCATCGGAGCTTAAAGACCATTTAAAAAAAAAAATAATTGCAAAGGCCTCTTATTTGTGTGAGTGAGTACTGAAACCTTGTTTCAGGGAATACTGTTTAATTTAATCGTAATAATTTCTCTTTCCAGTTAATTTGTCATGATGTCCATACCTGAATAGTTGTACTGACCAGTCATTTTATTTCCTCTTTATGGAGCTATCACTGCAGAGGTCTGCTGCAGATTCTTTTTCATAATAAACTTGTGAACTAAGAACCAAAATATTCATATTTTAATTGTATTTGGGATGAAAGAGTTAAGTGATGCCTTTGTGTAAAATGGTTACACTAACAAACACATTGGGTTTATATAAGTGTATGTATGAAGGCCTCCAGGTTAAAATAATAAAGACTGAAATTGCTCCTATGGGGTATGTTTGTGCATTTAAGACCAGCTGATTTGGGCTATTCACAGCTTTTCAGTTTCCATCGAGACTTGATTGACACTGAGACATTGAGCAAAACTCTTTAGGTGATTTTTTTTTAAAATGAGTAAAATGTTGTCTTCACTGACAGTTGGTGTACACATGTGCACCTCTCTCTGGTTTGGATGCTCTTAAGCTTGGTGATGGATATCTGCACCTGAGTCACCAAACAAAATTCACTGAACTGATACGATCTTTAAAGCAATTGTTTTACAATAATATATAATCTTACATTTGGTATAGCGCCTTTCACAATGGGAGATGTCTCAAAGCGCTTTGCAGGATATACTATAAAGTGGGGTGATTGTATTTTGTGGATGAACGCAGCAGTCAATTTGCACACAGCATTATCCCACAGATAGCCACAAAGTGAATGCCATTTTTTTGTATTGTGGGGGATTGTCGAGGACGTTAGGAGAAAGAAACTCCTCTCTGTTTTCAAATGGTGCATGGGATCGTTAATGTTCACCTGAACAGGCAGTTGGTTTAATGACTCATTTGAAGGGTGTAATCTCCAGCAATGCAGAATCCCCCCCCCCAGCACTGTGAGGACTTCCAGCAAAACAGACCTGAGAGCACATCTAGCGGAGACGGCCCCATTGACACGCTGCTTGTAAACCAAGCAAATCCGCAACTAGGCAATCATTGTTAGACATTGGTTTTCATGTCACTTCAGGAATATGCTGTGCTCTGCCCGAGCAACAGAATCCTTTTCAGGAGAAACCACTGATGGCTTTTGATGGATCTGAGGCAATTTGAAATTATTTTTGGTGCAATAATTATCAGCATTTCCACACCCGGCAGTGTCCATGTCACTGATACTATTGATTACTAAAACCTGACTGACTGCTGCCTGGATGGAGGGAGTGAAGGTGAACAAGAAATGTGGCCACTTCAAGAGGCATATCTAAGTGCTATAATAATAATAATCTTTGCATTTGATACAGCGCCTTATCACGTCTTTGAGACGTCTCAAAGCGCTTCACAGAATATACTGTGAAGTGAATTAACTGTAGTTTGTGGTTGAAATGCGGCAGCCAATCGTGCACAGCAGTGCCCCACAAACAGTTGTGGATTGAAGTGAGTGCTCTAACCACTGAACTACAGGATTCACATGATTGATATCCGTGGAACTATGATTGTGACCCTACATGAATCCCTGCCTTTCTTTTGGATGGTGAAAATCTGCGAAAAAGGAAGTGAAGGAGAGGGATATAGAATACAGCAAAAAAACATTAACCAGCACTGCCGGCCACCAGTAAAACAGTCCCAGTGTTTGATTGTTCAGGAAAGATTTGCGGTATTGAATTATTTCTTTCAGAGTAATCCTGCTAATTAGAAACCTGAAACGGTTCATTTAACATTTTCATTGTTGAATGAAAAATGGATGTGACTAGCTTGCAGTTGATCCAGTGACAACAACAAGATTACATTTGTATAGTGCCTTTCACGTCGGGAGGACGTCCCCAGGCGCTGGACAGAATACAGCATTTCAGACCCGAGCTGGGGTGGGGAGGGGAGGGGAAGGGAGGGTGGCTGATGGATGGCATGGTCAAAGAGGAGGGTCTTGAGGTGGGACTTGAAGGAGGCTAAGGAGGGGGCGAGGCGGAATGACTGGGGGATGGAATTCCAGTGTAAAACTTCAGAGGTAGTAAGGAATCTTGATTTTATTCCTTTGATCAGTTATGTTAAGTGCACTTATGCAAAACGAGCAGTGATCTGTTAACAGTTGTGCGTATTTAGTTGGGAGTATTTGTTGATTTGTAGCCGGATTATGTATTGGCGTAATCCCTCATGAAAAAAACAGGCAATTAAATGCCATAATGTTGATGCTCTTTTTATGACTGCCTGCATACAGCAATCGCAAAGATAAAAAGAACAGTGTTACAACGTGCTTAGAAATCATCACAAGATTGATCTGGATGAAGAAGGCATTTTGGCTATCCAATCTCATCCCTTCAGAACACCCACCCTACCATCTCCTCATCAAGTTGCTTTTTAAATGAGGCTAGTGTCCTGACCTCTACCACTTTTCCTGGCAACCTGTTCCAGTTGTTGATTACCGTCTGCATAAAGAAAAACTACCCGGTATCTCTCTTTGGTTAGGTTAATTATTCCATCAGTCATTTGTAATTTGACACCAACATTTCTGAAATATGAAGTTAATTTTAAATGTTATGTTTTCTGTTGCTTTGCATTTGATTCTTTATATTTCTTTCATGGAATTACACAAGTTGATATTTGTTTAAGTTCCTCGGTTATGATGATAGGAGCATGAACATAAATATAGACTAATTCTGTTTGGAGAACAGATTGTGCAAACCTAAATATAGGATTCGGTCATTAAAGGATTAAAATGCTACCTTTTGATCCATGGAATCTGGTTTCACATTCAGCCCAGACAATACCCTTTAAAGGTTAAGCATTATAGGTGTAATTAATGTGTGGCTTGTGGAACTGAACCGCAGCAAAGAGTCAATAACTTTCAAAGGTGAGAAACTTGGCAAAATGCATAAATAAAGAATATCTGGTCAAAAGCATCTTATTATTTAAGCACATTCAAAAAAACGAAATAGGACTAACAGAAACAGTGAGGAATACTCTTCATCTCCTGTCCTCCACCTCATTTTTTTTCCCTTTTTCTTTCCTTTCTCTGTTTGTCGTTATAAACTGCCCCCTTCCAACTTCCCCCAGTTGTGACGAAAGGTTCATCGATCTGAAAAATTAACTCACTTTCCTCTCCGCCTCACTTGCTCAGTGTTCCCAGCAATTTCTGTTTTTATTCCAAATTTCCAGCATCTGCAGTTATTTTGCCCTTTTCAGTGAGGAATACTTTTCAGTATTTTGCCCTTTTCAGTGAGGAATACTTACCTCGCTGACTGAATCACTAAACTGATGGTGCTCAGGGTCCTGATCATCAAAGGCGGGCTTCCTTTTAAGTGGAAGGAAAATGTACTGTACTTTGGGGGGGGGGGGTTTAAACCAATCATTCAGCCGTGCAATTATATACAGCAGTATGAACAAGGATATTATTGACATGTAAATAGGTATAATTATCTTAGAAATATAATTTTATGTGTACCAGCCAGATGGTACAAATGTAGGAGCCAGATGCAAGATTTCAGAATAGTTAGTCCTTGATTTCCTATGTGTGTGTGCGCGCCAAGTATCCCAAAGTCAAACCTCCCCCTCCCTCAACTCTACCCCCAACTGTACCCTCCATACTCTACCCCCCAACTCTACTCTCCATACTCTACCCCCCCAACTCTACTCTCCATACTCTACCCCCCCAACTCTACCCTCCATACTCTACCCCCAACTCTACCCTCCATACTCTACCCAACTCTACCCTCCATACTCTACCCAACTCTATCCCCCAACTCTACCCCCAACTCTATTCTATACTCTACCCTCCATACTCTATCCCCCCAACTCTACCCCCCAACTCTACCTCCCAACTCTACCCTCCATACTCTACCCCCCAACTCTACTCTCCATACTCTACCCCCCCAACTCTACTCTCCATACTCTACCCCCCAACTCTACCCTCCATACTCTACCCAACTCTACCCTCCATACTCTACCCAACTCTACCCTCCATACTCTACCCAACTCTACCCCCAACTCTATTCTATACTCTACCCTCCATACTCTATCCCCCCAACTCTACCCCCCAACTCTACCCTCCATACTCTACCCCCCAACTCTACTCTCCATACTCTACCCCCCCAACTCTACTCTCCATACTCTACTCCCCAACTCTACCCTCCATACTCTACCCCCCAACTCAACCCTCCATACTCTACCCAACTCTACCCTCCATACTCTACCCAACTCTACCCCCAACTCTATTCTATACTCCACCCTCCATACTCTATCCCCCCAACTCTACCCTCCACACTCTACCCCCCAACTCTACCCTCCACACTCTCATCCCCCACCAACTCTACATCTTAGGCCGAACAAGCGTTTCGCCCACAAAATACACAGTCGCTACACTTCGCAGCGTAGTGGAGACGCCTCGCAGACGCGACGAGGCTCTGCATCAAAGGCGAGGGTGATTGTTCTAATTATTATTATTATGATTGCATATTGTAATTGCGGCTACAGTATAGATATATAGATATATAGATATAGAGCCCTTTCCTTCCGCTTCAAGAAAGCGATGCCCCCCTTCGAATAGCTGAGATGTGGCTTCGGGGATGAGAATGAACGACGTTGCGAATCCCACCACCAAAGAAAAAATAAAAAATCAATAAAATCAGACATACGGTTTGCGAAAGAGGAATTAAAAACATAAATGTCAATGAAAGGGAAACCGAAGTTGTTGTTGTTGTTGTTGTTGATGAATTTTTTAGGCTCCGGCGCGGTGCGGGCAGCCCCGGGTCCTGGCCCGGGGTCCTCGCCTGGCGCGCCGTGGACAGCTACAGCGTGGGGTTGGGGGGGGGGGGGTCCTCGCCTGGCGGCCACTGGGCAGCTACAGCCTCTCACCGCAGCAGCTCCGGCGCCGCTCACAGCTGACCCCCGGCGGCGGCGCAAGGCAAGAGAGACCGAGGCTCCCTCCTGGGTGACCGCGGGCGGCCTCGGGGGGCGTCTGTTGACGCTTCTTGACGCTGGCACTGGGCCCCCGAGGGGAGAGTGAAGGGTGGGGGGGTGGGGGGGGGGGTTAGAGTGTGTGCTGGGGGGGAGGGGGAGTATGGGGAAAGGGGGAGAGTTTGGGGGAGGGGAGAGTTTGTGGGGAGGGGAGAGTTTGGGGAGGGGGAGTTTGGGGGAGGGGAGAGTTTGTGGGGGAGGGGAGAGTTTGTGGGGAGGGAGAGTTTGTGGGGGAGGGGAGAGTTTGGGGGAGGGGAGAGTTTGGGGGGGAGGGGAGGGGAGAGTTTGGGGGGAGGGGAGAGTTTGGGGGAGGGGAGAGTTTGGGGAGGGGGAGAGTTTGGGAGGGGGGAGAGTTGGGGGGGAGGGGGGGGGAGAGTTTGGGGGAGGGGAGAGTTTGTGGGGAGGGAGAGTATGGGGAGGGGGATTTGGGGAGGGGAGTTTGGGGGGGGGGGGGGGGGGAGAGTTGGGGGAGGGGAGAGTTTGGGGGAGGGGGAGAGTTTGGGGGAGGGGGAGAGTTTGGGGGAGGGGGAGAGTATGGGGAGGGGGAGAGTTTGGGGGGGGGAGTTTGGGGGGGCGAGAGTTGGGGGTGGGGGAGAGTTTGGGGAAGGGGGAGCGTTTGGGGATGGGGGAGAGTTGGGGGGGGGGAGAGTTTGGGGGGGGGGAGAGATGGGGGGGGGGAGAGTTTGGGGGGGGGAGCGTTGGGGGGGGAGAGTTTGGGGGGGGGAGAGTTTGGGGGGGGGGAGAGTTTGGGGGGGGAGGGGGTGGGGGAGAGTTTGGGGGGAGGGGGAGAGTGGGGGGGGGGGTTGAGTTGGGGGAGAGCTGGTTGTTTATGGGAGGCCAAGGCTCTAAAACATATTTTTCATACAGTAACAATGTGGGGGGTGATGGTGATGGTGGGGGGGGGGGGGGGGTGATGGTGGTGGTGGGTGGGGGGGGGGGTGGGGTGATGGTGGTGGGGGTGAAGGGGAAGGGGGGGGGCACAGAAAGAGGTGGAAAGTATCAAATAAGAAACGAAGAGGATAAATTCCCAGTGTTGTTTGGCTTTCTGGCCGTCCACTTTGACATGATTCCCTGATGCGTGTGTCGTGGTGTCATAATTAAGGAACAAGGGCTTTGAGACGTCGTCCTGACGGGAAAGGTACTATAAGCCAACGGAAATATAAATATAAATATGAATGGCGCCGCGTTAGTTCTCTGCCACGTTGCCGGAGTGCAAAATGCCTGAGCTCATTCGTCCTCTGAAATTACGAGGTCCGCAACTCCGCTTGTGCGGAATAAGCCTTGTGGTGTGAGCTGCCTCAGTGGGTAACAGTCGTCTTGAGTCAGAGGGTGTGGCTCAAGGCCCCCGTTGGGACTCGGCATTCACGATCGAGGCCGGCACTTGTCCCAACACAATGTCTTAGGAGGTTGTGTCCTTTGGATGAGTCAACAAACTATTTCCCTGCGGTTTCGACAATTCTAGGCGGAGGGTAAAGATCCCGTGGCACTGTTCCAGAAGAATGTCCCGGCCAGCCATCCCTCAGATAAAATTAGCTCATTCACTTCGCGGCTGTTTGTGGGACATTATTGTGCGCCAATTCGCATTGCGTTCACCTGCAAAATACAGTCACTACGTTTTGCAATACATTTTGCGACGGGCTTTGAGACTTCTTCCTAAGGTGAAAGGCGCTGTATCAAATATGGAACCAGTACGAAGAATAAGGGATCTGAAAACAGGATCTTGGTGTTGAACTCACACTTAGGATTTGGGCAAATGAAGTAGTTTGTGGATGAGGTTAACTGAATATCTTTGATATCTTTAACCCCGGAAAGTGAAGGTGAATAACGTAACTAAGGCGGATAAAGGCACAAAAAACAGCCCTAAGATATACACGAGGTATCAACATTACCGTCAAAGGTTAATGTTGCGCAATGTTCAAGCAGATTGATTCTGTCAGCAATGTCTGTGGTGTAATCGCAGAATTGTGACGGAAACCGCAATTGCACTTTGGAACACGGAAGGAGTGTGTGCGTGCGTCAGAGAGAAAGAGAGAGAGTCTTGTTGACCAGCTCTTAAGAGGGCAGCTCCAAGATGAGTTGGCAGTTCCTGGCTTCGATCTGTAAGATCCTCACTGTTCTCCATCCCCCTCAGAGCAACTTTTAGGAACTCTGCATTAATGCCCGTCCGACTTGCTGCCTTACCTTTAGAAGTGCCGCAGTGCAGAGTTTACCTCCTCCTAACGGATTGGGATGACAGTAATAATGTGATCACTCAATCCATGACTGTTTGTGGGACACTGCGGTGCACAATTGGCTGCCGCGTTTGGCCCACAAAATATACAGTCAATTCACTTTTACAGTGTATTCTGTGAAGTGCTTTGAGAGTCTAGAAGATGTGATAAGGCGCTATATCAAATGCAAGGATTATTATTATTATTGGGTCGTTAAGGCCTTCAATCTGTCCCACACCACCTGCCAGCTCTTCCATCCTCCATACAGATGGATCTCTGCTATAGCCAGACTCCAATTCTGCAATGGCTCCAACCAGTCCCCAAGGATATCCTCATGGGTTTGTGGTAAAACATCTGACTAGTCCCAACACTGGCCTGAATGTCCTCCAACGGCCTGGTTGCTTTTCATCTTTAGATTCAAAACATGCAGAGACTGATACGATTCACAATATAATCAGAACTGTGATCGAGACAGTTTAGTAAAGAATTTTGTCATGCGCTCATTTGTGTTGAACTCTACTATAATATTCCTTTCCTTTTCATCTCCTTCCCATTGCTGGCTCTGATCTCTTATTTTTCTGTACGTGCTTTTTCTTCAGTGTACGTACTTTGGATGTATATAATATTAGAAATCACCTTTCATATTTTGGAGCCATCGGCTCACAACTGAGAATAAATGGGCACTATAGGCGGGGACACCATTTCAGAGTGACTTACTTTGTTGTAACTATTCTAGTCTGGGTAGCAATTTGGTGCATAATTTAAAGTTTGTGCTTAACTTTTTCTGCGGTGCCAGAAAGAAAGTACAGTGTGGTAGTCGCTTGTGAATTGTTCGGTCAGTCCAGTTATGTGATTTGTGGATCGTATTCAACATCGCTCATCTCCTTTCCTTTCAGCTAATCCGAGCTGCAGAAACTATAGGGAGGAGCAGTTTGATTTCTTCCTCACTGTGAAATGAAATCCTGTGCCGGTTGGACTGTGGATCACGCAGTAGAGGTTCTTCATACTGATCAATAGGAGCCCTGTTTCTCAGCAGAATAGAATCATTTATGGAACAGCAGTAGTCTGTTTTTCCAGTATGGAGGATCTCCTATACCAAAATAGAACATGTGGGTGACCATCACTGTATTATAATAATAATAATCCTTGCACTTGATATAGCACCCTGTCGTCAGAACTTTTCAAAGTGCTTCGCAGGATCACTGTAAAGTGTAGTGACTGTATTTCAAGGTGAATGCAGCATCCGATTTGCACACAGCAACGTTCCACAAATGGCTGTGAAGTGAGTAACTCATTTTATCTGTAGGATTATTGGCCAAATTCACATAGTGCCATGGAATCTTTAACGTCCAACTGAACAGGTGGATATTGCCTTAGTTAATGTCTCATCCAGAGGATTGGAACATAGATTTTAATTGTCCTTGACCCATTACTTTGATTTATAACAATATCTTTTAACATTTTCACAAAGAAAAGGGAGTATATTTTATACATTAATTATGTTACTTTGTGAAACTATTAGTGGTAGATATAATTTACAAAGATACTTTCCCCAGAAAAAGAGGTGGGAATGGTGAAGTGTCAAAAGATCTTGTGGAAAGCACTTAGCATAATTGTATCCATGTATTTGCTCCTCAAATGCTAAGTACTCCAGGTAGAGAGGATAATAATAAACCTTACATTTGATACAGTGCCTTATCATGTCTTCGACGCGTCTCAAAGCGTTTCACAGAACGTACGATGAAGCGAATTGACTATAGGTGAAATGAGGCTTTGTGTGTTTTGGGGAAGGGGGAAGAAGGGAATTGTTGAAACTGAGCATACAATGCAGCTATATGTTTCTCTGTGAAGTAACTAAAGATTTTGGATGCATTAAATTTCCAGATGCCTTCAATTAAACTACAGAGCTCCGATGGAGAAATATTTGAAGTCGACGTGGAGATAGCGAAACAGTCTGTGACAATCAAGACTATGTTGGAAGGTCAGTAATGCACCATTGGGTAATAATAATAATAATAATATCGAATTTAAGAAATATCTTTTTTGAAAGGGCAGCTATGAAGCCTTTTCAGAGAAATATATATTTTTTAAAAATACCTTCAGGATTCAACGAAAGAAAATTGGAAAAAATCTGTGAAATCTAGTTTTCCTTCAATTTACTTGGTGTAAACTGGATTATTTTTCAGTTTTTTTTTAATAAATTGAAATATTGGCTCCTTGGTTTATTTAGTGTGATGAGTTGCTGCATATGAAATGAATATGCATTTGAGGAGTTTGCAGTGCCTAATTGGCACCCTGGTGAGAAGGAAGATGCTCATGATTTCAGGAAATATAATTTTTTTTATACTATTATATAACTTGCAGGGGCAGAGCAAAACACAACTTGCATTTACATAGCGCTTCTGCATGATGAACGCTATATAAATGCAAGTTGTTGTTGTTTGCTATGCCCCCTGCAACAAATAATCGATCCAGACTGTTTTCCTCTTGCTATTGGCATAAGAGATTGATATCAAACGTGAAACATCATGGTATTAAAGGTAAAGTAGTTTGGGTAGAAGAATGGCTGAAATGCAGCGATTGGGGTTTGTTAGATGTTTCTCAGATTGCCAGGCCCAGGATTCTGAAAATTAGCTGCATATTTTGTGGGTGAAACCCGGCAGCCAATTGGCGAACAGCAGAGATTTGCAGCGAGACCTGGGAAGTGGGACTTAGAAAAAGGGAATTTAAGAAAAAAACAGTAGTATTTGGCATAGACCCAATGTGCCAATTTTCTGTGTAGAAAATTTCTATGTTTTGTTCTTTCATCTTGAATTGTTAATTATTAACCGACTGTAGGATAATGTGCAGATGTTTCCTTTTTTTAAAATGATAAATAGATTTAGGGATGGATGATGAAGGCGATGATGATCCTGTTCCACTTCCGAATGTCAATGCTGCTATACTTAAAAAGGTAAGCAACCCAAACTATATTTTTTCCAAAGAGTCATTTGGTGAGTCAGATGAGAATGACCTGTTGCAAGAACAAAACATACCTTCAGGATTCAATGAAAGAAAATTGGAAAAAAAACTCTGAAATCTAGTTTTCCTCTAATTTTCAGTTTTTTTTTAATAAATTGCAATATTGGCTCCTTGGTTTATTTAGTGTGAAGAGTTGTTGCATATGAAATGAATATGCATTTGAGGAGTTTACAGGCATATTTTTAAAAGGAAGTTTAAAGAATCGAGGAAAGAATAGCTGGTCTGCACATCCTCCGCCCCACCCTGACCCTTCAGCAACTACGCATGGAACTGTCCCCCTCTACCCCTCCTTCTGTCTTGCCCTCTCTCAGTCTATCTTCAGATTCTACCTTAAAACCTATCTCTTCAACCACCTCTAATTAATTGAGCAAATCTTGGGGACCTGGATGCCCATTAGACCAGATGCTAACTTTCACACCCGGAGCCTGGGTTTGAATCCGACCTAAACTGACGAAACTCTTTGTCTAATCCATTAGGGTCCTGTATAAAATGTGTTCCATGAAGTTTGTAGTGAGAATGTACTCAAGGGATAAAACTGCCTTTTAAACTGTGTGAAATTAGTAGCCTTTATAGATGATAAAATCTATTTGTGTGGGAAATGGAAAATGTCACACCAGTTCAGTAGAGAACGGTCTGAGTTTCAGGCTAATAACAATGCTTGCGTTTCATATTGCACCTTATGATGTCTTCGAGACGTCTTAAAGCGCTTCACAGAATATACTGTCAAGTGAATTGACTGTATATTTTGTGGGTGAAAGGCACATAATGGAGTGGAGAAGAGGGAGCTTCAGTCTGCAGTTGTCTGTGTTACATTTAACTGGGAGTGAGTGATGCTTGAAGATGGTACCTGGAATAGTTAAGCTGTTGCATTTCTCAGCACAAACATCCCTCAACTCTGTGACCACAAAATTCTTGCGAATTTGAGGTAAAAAAAAGTAAAGGGAAGGAAAAAAAATGAGCAAACTGCAAATTAAACTATTCTCGAGCCCTGTAATTGTTGAATGGAAGATTGGATAATGTTGTTCAGACTTCAGTTTGAGTTTGAAGCAATCTTAATAACATGGTTATTTTCTTGTAAAAGTGGAAGTATTGTACGTGTATCTCACGTCGGCTATTGTTACTAGGTGATACAGTGGTGCACTCATCACAAAGATGATCCTCCTGCTCCCGAGGATGATGAGAACAAGGAAAAGAGAACGGATGATATACCGGTGTGGGATCAAGAGTTCCTCAAAGTTGATCAAGGGACACTCTTTGAACTAATTCTGGTGAGTAAGCTTCTAGCAAAACTACTACTACTACTACTACTAATAATAATCCTTGCACTTGATACAGCGCCTTTCACGTCTTTGAGACGTCTCAAAGCCCTTCGAAGAATATACTGTAAAGTGAAAGGCAAAGCACTGCAGATGCTGCAAATCTGGTATAAACCCAGAAGTCGCTGGGAACATGCAGCAGGTCAGGTAGCATCCATGGAGAGAGGAAAATGAGTTAATGTTTCAGGTCAGAACTGCCTGACGAAAGGTCACTGACCTGATTCGTTAATTCATTATCCTCTCTCCATAGCTGCATGGATGGCATCAGGAACTCTCTGCTTGGAGAATAGCGGCTGTATATTCACATTTGAATTGCATTAGAATTTGGAATGAGCTGGATAGTGGTAGAATTGGGGAGACTGGCACGGGAAGAGATTGGAGGGCAAGGAATTAGCAAAAGCGTTCATAAAGGTGTGAGACGGGGAAGGAGGCAGAAACGTGCAATGCTGAAGGTCATGATCAGGGATCGGATGTATGGAAGGAAAAGGAGCTGAGGTTCGAAACAAAACATCAAGGTTGTGCACCGACTCAGAAATTTAGCGGGGCAAGACGTAAAGTCCTATGTTTTGAGAGGAACAATAAAGGGATGCAAGTATACATTAAATGGCAACTTAACAGGAATAGAACGGCAGAGAAGCCCAAGCATTAACGTACATAAATGTTTTAACGGTGAGAAGGCAGGAGGACTAAGCTGTGAGGAAAGCTAATGGGATCCCAGGTTTTATAAATGGGGTATAGAAAATATAAAACCAAAGATTGTATCGTGCCCTTATATTTTTGGATTCGTAAATACAACTTGTCAAATCCACTTGGCATTAAATATGATTTGCAAAGAAAAGAGAACTCTACATTGACCTCATAAACTAACTAAACCACATCAAGCAAATGTAGGGCTAATGGCACTCAGTGTGCTTTAAGAAAGCAATGCTTTAGTACAAAAATCTGTAGTGACAGTCTCTCACTCTCTCTCTTTCTCTCTGTCTCTCTAAATCCCCAGTCTCTTTCTCTGTGTTGAAAATCCTAAGAATTATTTTAAGTATTTTGAACAATTAGAAGTGGGGCCTTTTAACACAAACGTAAAATGGAAAGTTAAAAGGCCCACAAACCTTTTTTAGATCAAACACTGATATTGTGCTGGAGGAATTAAAAGGAGGAAGATTAACCTTCCATTTCTGAATCAAAAGGATTAGCCTAAATTCCAAAGCAATAATTGGAATCGGATAAAGCGCATGTTTTCTGACTGGGATTAAGCTAAATTTGTTAATGCAAAGAATCATCATCATGCTTCAGCTGGTTTAAATGTTCCTAGGCTTTATAGTGACAAATGCTGATGGAGATTGCACTTATCTTTAGCACTCAGTGACCAAAATTAGACACTCCCCTGGTCAGATGTACTTTGTGTAGCGTAAAGTATGCTACAACTATGTCACAATAATAAACTCGCTGAATAGCAACTTCGATCCTAGAGATGGAAGGTCAACAATAACAAAGTACATTGTAAAGCGCCTTTCACGTTGGGAGGATGTCCCAAGGTGCTGAAAGATAGCTTTGATGAGCTTAAATTCTGTACCTATCTAAATGACAGTCAGTGAGATAACACAGTCTGTCCCTTCATTCATTTTAGCTCAGTGACTCCATGTTTGGTTATTAATACAGTGTGCATATCTAGAAACATCCGGACTGCAGGGGATTTAAGTATGTATTTGTCGGGAATGCAGTGGGCAATATGGATTCACTTTCTCCATTTATTCTCACCTTCTCTACTGAACTGTCGCATAATATGCTATTGGGGAAGAGAGCAAAAATGTTGTGTTTCTGTTCCAGTTTAGTACAGTAGAATAGTTTTTGTGTCGTAGGATTTAATCTGGTTTGGTTTCTAGACTTTGGGGAAGGAGAGCCCTGTATAATTTGAGACCTGAATTTTTCCGTACACTGATCTAGGCTGCAAATTATTTGGATATCAAAGGTCTGCTTGACGTGACCTGCAAAACCGTGGCAAATATGATCAAAGGCAAAACCCCGGAAGAGATTCGTAAGACATTTAACATCAAAAATGATTTCACCGAGGAAGAGGAGGCACAGGTAATAGCACTTTGTGATGCACGGCTGTGGATAGCATACTGTGAATGCGTTGAGTGAGATTCGTATTGTCTGATGTGGAAATGAGCTGCAGATGGATTTGTCATCCCAGATTAAAGGACCAACCTCAAAACATTGATTAGCAGGAAAAGTGCTATGTTACTCCAGGCAGATTTGAATATAAAGGCATTCAAATACTGTGTCTTGGTGAACCAAAAAATGATCTGCAGATGCACAAAATGAGTATGGTTATAATTCAGTGGGATTTTGCTAACAGGTACAGAGGTTATTTGAAGTAAACTGCATGGTAGTGTATGAATGGGTTTTATTTTAACGCGGGGGAGAAGGAGAATGCGACTCTTCATTTCATCGCCATGAAGATAATTTTAAAGTAATCGTTAGTCATTTCCTTGTCTGCTGATGGGAGCAGTTGAAGGGGTTCAGCAGGATATCCAGGCACGGGGAACCACAACAACTTGAATTTATATAGCGCCCTTCATGTGGGGCTAGCGTCCCGGCGTGCTTGACAGTGGCGGAGTCTGACCCCGAGCTAGGGGGAGAGAGCGCGGAGAGGTGACTGTAAACTTGATCAAAAAGGAAGGTCTTTGGGCGGAACTTGAACGTGGGGAGGGAGCAACTTGTAAAGATCTTGAAAGATCAGTAACGTGTGGACAAATGCCATTTCTTTCTGAGCCATTTTTGTTTCACTACATTGTCCTCCTTTTCAGGTGCGCAAAGAAAACCAGTGGTGTGAAGAGAAGTGAAGAATCTAGGCACGTTGTGAATTAACACACACTTCCAAAGGCTGGCAGCACTGCACTATTTTGTAAATGTTTAATATTTGATACATGCAAAGGAAAAAACTTAGCATTTTGAATTGCATGATTCCTTGCTTATTCACAGCACTGTGTTCTAGTCTTTCTCCCGCGATCACTGTATAGGATTGGAAGCGAGATACAGTCTTTCTCCGCACACCACTTTACAGGCTACTGGCTTCAAGAAGATTATAAAACATAAGCTTTTTTAAATTCTAAGTAGTGTGGGCTAGACAAAAATCCTCCTTGAATGCTGGGGGCATGTCTGATTTTCATGCAATCTGTAGTCTCTGTTTAGAAAGCATTGAAGACAGGATTTACAGTGAGGAAGGAGTCTTGTTCTTCCACAGTATAATTAAATAACACGGCAGCAAAGTCAATCTGCTTAAATAATTGAAATTAACATTCAGTTCTTTACTGTTCTCGGAAATCACTTCATTGCTAGAGGTTTTCAGTATGCGTACAGCTTGTGCTGGCAGAGTGATATTTAATCTGTTTGCTTCAACAGAGCTTTGTACCCTGGTGTTTGTGAAAATATGGATTATAGGGTCCGGTACTGTTAATATTTATCCCTCCTGTAGGGGTTAAAACCCGGAACCTAATTTAAAATTTCCCATACAATACATCCTAGCCAAGCCTGCTGCTGTCCGTGCCTTGATGGTGAAGAATCATTGTGATTCCACTTATTTGTGTGATATTTACTTTGTGGTTTCTGAACTTTATAAAAATCCGATGTTTGCACTGATTTGAGGTATGCTTTCATTTCTTTCCAATCACTTGACTGCCCCACTATCTGTTGCCTATGTAGATCTATAATTAGAAAGATTGAATCCAACATTTACACGTATGGTTGTGTTTTCTTCAATTGGCCCACGATACTACTGAAAGCTCCAACTCTGTTCATAATGGAGATGGTGTGTGTCTGTTCAAAGGAACCTTGTTTTCATCATTTACAGATGCACTATGATAAAGGTCAATAGAACTAACTGAATAAGTGCTAAGACTTTCACATGTTGCTGTTTTAGTAATTTAGATATGACAACTTTGTACTTTAGTGTAAAATAAACATGAATAAAACTGCAGATCCATAAAATATTGCAAGGTACCACTGCCTTCTTATTGGAGAATCTACCTACTATCGAGGTGTCTTGAAATGTTGAGCCATTAATGTAAAATATTCCAGGAATCTGATAAAGTAGAAGGCACTGGTGAGATGAGGCAGGTGCCTGTTTCCCTTCCTCCCCTTCACATGAACGCACACATCTGTGAGAAGCTGGTAAATCAAATTGAGTGAGTGATTCTGTCCTGCTCTTCAGTGTTCTCCTCGTCAACCTAAAGCGTTAATGGCAGCTTAAGTGCAAGCCATCTCTTGGTACTGTTCGTAGTCCTGATTGACTGGAAGAACTGGTGTGGAAGTAGATAGCATTTTGGAGCAACTGGATTTCGCGGACGGTGGAGCTGGGGAGACCGGCCAGGAGGACATTTGAATAGTTGAGGCGCGCGACTACATGGGCGAGTGTTTCGGCTGCTAAGGTTTAGTTGGAGGTGGTCGAGTGGAAGAAGGAGGTCTGGTCAGGGAATACAGGCAGTGGGGATGGTCCACAGCACAGTGGAATTGTATAATAGTAGGTCATGTGTTGAATCCCATTCCGCTGAGTTCCTGATCTCAGCTGTGTAGAGGCTGAGTGCAGAATAAGCAGCTGCTCACATGGTGAGGGGTTCCTATTGTGAGGATAATTTAATATATCCCTGGAATTACTGCCTCTCTCAATACAATACAAAACTACATTTGTACAGAGCCTTTCACGTCAGGAGGACGTCCCAAGGCGCTGGAAACTCAGGGATTTGGACCCGAGTAGGGCATGGTTCGGATCAGGGAGGGTGGCCAAAGGTGCAGTCGAAGAGGAAGGTCTCGAGACGTGCCTTGAAGGGAGGCAAGGGAGGGAGCAAAACAGAGGGAATGTGGGATGGTGTTCCAAAGGGTGGGGGCAGAGGACGAAGGCCCGACCGTCGATGGTGGGCATTTTGTGTACGTTGCAGATTGCTGCTTCTCTGTTACGACAATTATTACTAAAGGACGGGAGGTGGTGGGACTGGACACCGTTGTGTTGTATTTAATACCGACTAATGTTTCTTGACTTCCACCGACCACATGGGGGCAATCGTGTCTCTGAGGAAATGAACACAAAGCACGAGGCGTGATTGAAATCGTGTTGGAGGAGTTTAGAAAATGTGGAAATTAAGCATCATGTGCTGCTAATTGTTTTGACCTTTGTCTCTGTTTGAATGTTGTTGGAAGCTGCGGGTTGTGGCTTTGTTCAGAGCACTCGCTCACTGTGTGAGGTCTGCTCAGTCTCACGGGTGGTTTTCAAATACTTTGTCATTTCTTACTGTGACGCACCAAGGATCTCAGCAGGAAGAATTACACATTGCATCGAAACACTCAGTTGCTGGATCACAGTAACGTGCAGCAAAGTATCTCAAAACCGCCCATGAGACTGAGCAGACCGGCCACACACAGTGGATGTGGGGCATATCATAGGCAGGGAATCGCGAAGTCCTGTAGCTCAGTGGTTACAACGCTCACCTCGCAGACGAGAGGACCTGGGTTCGAATCCCGGGCAGGGAGAAACCTTAGGCAAATTTCCTTACTCCACATGCCTGCTTACCTTGCAGTAATTAGGAACCCGGTTATTAGTCGATTGGCAGATGGCTTTTCCGGGGCTAATAATTCCTTCAAAAAAATAATAAATTGGTCATTCAATCCACGACTGTTTGTGGGGACGCTGCTGTGCGCAATCGGCTGCCGCGTTTCGCCCACAAAATATACGGTCAGTTCACTTTACAGCATATTCTGTGAAACGAAACGCTTTGAGACGTCTCGATGATTGTGATAAGGCGCCGTATGAATTCTAGGAACCTCGCAGTTCTCTTGAGATAATATAAAGGTTTTGAAGTAATAATAATAATAATAATAATCCTTGCATTTGATATAGCGCTTTTCACGTCGGGAGGACGTCCCAAAGCGCTTCACAGAACACACTGTAAAGTGAATTGACTGTATATTTGTGGGCGAATGCGGCAGCCAATTGCGCACAGCAATGTCCCACAAACAGTCGTAGATTGAAAATGACCAATTTAATTATTGTTTTTTGGTTTTTGGAGGGATTATTATTAGGCTCTGTGTGGAGTAAGGAAACTTGCCCAAGGTTTCGCCCTCTGCCTGGAATTGAACTCAGGTCTCTCACTTGCAAAGCGAGTGCTCTAACCACTGAGCTACAGGACTCCACGTAATTGGGACATTTTAACAATTGCTCCCCTTTTTCTCTGAAACGCTGTCCGTCCGGCGTGAAGGGCGCTATAGAAATCCAAGTTGTTGTTCTGGTAATTGTTTTGCAGATGTAGATTATCAGGAGGCTTTTGCATGGTATTGCACTTGCACCAAGATTTCTTTTATTTTTCTTCTCCGAGTGCTGCCATCTGGTGGAGAAACAACTGAGATTTTGTGGCAAAAAGATCACAGAAAAATGACGGGTCTTAGTCTAGGTTCAGATGAAAGGATGGTCGCCATTTTGAACCAAAGAGAGTGAATTCATACCTTTCCCTCAAGGCTGGACTATGGGAACTCTCTCCTCGCCGGCCTTCCCGGCGCCTCCCTCCACACTGCAGGTCATTCAGAACTCTGCAGCTCGTGTACTGTCCCGCACCAGACACCGCGACCACATCACTCCCACCCTCGCTCGCCTCCACTGGCTCCCCATCCCCCAGAGGATCAAATTCAAGATCCTCATCCTCACTTACAAGGCCATTCAAACCAAAAACTCCCTCCTACCTCTCTGATCTACTATCCCCCTACCTACCTGCCCGTACCCTCCGTTCCTCCGGCTCCTGTCTGCTCCACGTCCCCCGCCCCAACCGCCCTACCATCGGTGGCCGGGCCTTCAGCCTCTCAGCCCCGAGGCTCTGGAACTCCATCCCCCAGTGCCTTCGCCGCTTCCTCCCTTTCCTCCTTCAAGGCCGGTCTCAAGACCTTTCTCTTTGACCTTCAGCCTTCAGCTCTCCTCTCGACTCTCTACCCCCTCCTCGCTCCCTCCCTCCCTTCCCTCCCCTCACCCTGACCATTTCCCCCCAATGCTCGGGTCCTGACCAACTGTACAGCGCCCTGGGACGTCCTCCCGACGTGAAAGGCGCTCTATAAATGGAATCTTGTTGCTGTTGTTGTTTCCCCCACTCCCCTATCTGGCCCACCATCGGGAGGTGGGCTTTCAGACGTTCTGCCTCCTCTCTCTGGAACAGCGTCCCTCAATCTCCTTTCCCGTCCTCGTTCCCATCTCAAAACATTACCTCTAACCAGATTTTCGGTCATCTTTCCTGTCCCTCGGCTCCCACCCCCCACCCTCGCCGCCATTGTCAAGTGCTTCGAGATGCCATCTTGACGTGAAAACCCTTATCAATGTAAAGTGTGCAGTCTCTCCCCTTCCCCTCTCTCACGCTTCAAGTCCACTTCAAGTCTGAGACGTCATAGTCAAGGGCACTGTGTAAAAGCAAGTTGTTGTTTGGTGAAGAAGGTGGAGGTGTGAAAATGGGTTTGCGCGCTCCAAAATAAGTGAATCAATAGCCTACAAGCGACTGACACCAGAGACACGTTAGTAGTTTGCAACAGGGCAATAATAGGTTGGGGTGGTGGGGGTGGGGGGGGCGAGGGAATTTCATCTATCACGAGGAATTCATCAAAGATGAGAAAATCTACAAAGCAAAAAGCTCAAATAAAACCACAGAAAACCACTGTGTCGTTCACTTGAATCAAAATATTTATTTTTTAAAAATTTCTTTCAGCAAATAGTACAGTTTTGGATTTGTTCCCTCCTAGTTATTTACAACTTTTGGTTGTTGACCCAACTCCTGGGCTGGCTTTATGTTTGTTATTTTACTTTTATCTTTAACTTGGACTGTAATTACATTGTTGAATGGGGGTAAGGCATCAAGATTTTTGAAAACAGTTTTGTACAAAATGCAAATAAGTTCTCACATGATTTTTAAAAAAGAGGCTGAAATTTTTGGGTTTTTTTTTGTCACTGAGGCTGAAACAATACTTTGCTGGAAAATCCAAATAATATAACCGTTAATTGCCTCTTTTACAAATGTTCCCTGCCTCCCCCCCCCTAAAAAAAACCCTATTTCTACTGTTAAAATTCCCCTTAAAAACAATTCATAAAAATGTTACAACAGACTGAAGAACACACAGGAAAAGCAAAGCATCAAGTCTTGCATTTTTTTTTTTTTGGTTTCGTTTTACATTTTTTATACAAATAGAAAGAAAAAAAAAGTGAACATAAATCAAGATGATCTTTTTGGGCTTCATAAAAAGTAACATCCAGGTCAAATATTGACCTTATTTCTCTGTTTGACAGTTTAAATGCTAACGTTTAACTGCCCGTAAAGCAGTCTTTTTATAAGAATTGTCAACCGATGTAACACACGTAAGAAAGCAACCCTTATTTAAAATAAGCTTTCACATACTACACCACACAAGGAAATATCTGTCAGTTCATTCTTCCCACAATTAATTGCTGGCACAAGTGGAAAACACACAAGTGTAAGACTCCAATCTCGCTATGGACCTTCCTGACCTTGAGGTCTTTGATAGGGTCTGCTACAATTTTTCCTTTGATGCAATTCATTTCACACATGATGTTTATTAATAGAGATTTTTCGTTGCAATCTCACTTTTTTCTAACTAGCAAATGTCACAAATTTGCTTCTTTTTTTTTAAAAAAAGGTACCTCTTGCCGGACTCAAATGGGAGCATTGGGTTTAAAAGAATTCTCAGGATTTTTTTTTTAAAAAAATATATATATTTTTTCCCTTCGAGATGTGAAAAGTCACCTCAGCTGACTCAGAGGGAAAAAGAACATTTAAAAAAAAAAAAAAAATGGTTTCACCAAATGTCATCGTCAAAACACTCCTTGGTCATGTGATTTCCAACAAAACTCCCTTCCACTCTGTTCCAACAACGTAGCCAACCTTCTGACTGCTGAATGAGACTTGCAATATAATGCTGATTTGTACCAAATTGGACAGTTTTCTTGTCGTGGACCCACCCTCGTAGAGTGACCCACAGCCAGTGGGTTGACACTACGCGATCCTCTTTACACAAGACCTTGCATCTGTCGGAAGAGAAGCCTTTCATCCCATTCTTGTTATGGATTAGATTCAAACCCAGATCATAAGAGTTGAATGCACAATGTTCCAACACCCCGGACCATCCTGACCCAGACGGAATCCATTATTGGCCATCTGAATGACATCGTTAATTCGATGTGGCTGTTTCTCTTGACTAATGTAGATTCCTGAACTAATGGGCAAAAATATTGTGGGCTTTTCCAGATTCGAAAGGCACTCTCCAGAGGACAACACAAGAGAGTTGCCACAAAATACAGCTTTTCTGAACTAAGAAAAATCACAGACGAAGCATCAAAAGCAACAATATCTGTGTAAAGAAGTGGACCTGCGAACACAAAAGCAGATTGGGTTGGCTGGCCTCTTGGAGAGTAGGGAGCTCGGACTAAATTAAGAATTGCTGAATATAATTGTACAAAAGGATTGATTGTTTTTGGTTTGAATGTAGCAGAACATTCAAAAGTAACATCTATAGCTGTTGACAAACACTTGTATTCGTTAGGTGTTCAGGATTGGAATTAGGAAACTGGGTAACAGCCTATTCAATACACTGTTAACATAAAATGCCTTTGATTCTGAATCACAGGCACTGGTTTACTCTGCAATTTCACTTGTAGACTTCCTTCTGTGTTCTCCCGAGTTCTAAGTATGGCACTTATTTGTGGAGGGAATTTACCCCAAGCCTCGAAAACTATTAAAAAAATAGAATCTTCACCGTGTACACTGACATATATTCAAAAGTTAGAAACCAAAGTCAAACAGATACAAAACCCCATTCCCGCTTTGATGGCATTTGATTTCAATAGGATCCCTTTTAAGTACAATGAATATTCTTTGAGCGGTTTAAAAACATCACCTTGTACGCAAAAGCTTAAGTATGTGCCCGAATGAGATATTTCTGAGGAGGCTGGAGGGGCAGTGGGTTATCTCTAGCCCAGGCTTTGCAACAATATAGAAGTGATCTCTCGATTTGGAGCTGCCCTAATGGAAGAAGGTCTTTTTCTTGCTTTGAAACTAGGAGCCCGTCTACCAAAATCATCCACTGGAAGAATGTGCATCTCCGGAGATGTGGTTGGAGATGATCACTGTCTAATTAATCTGCAAAGAGCTGCTCTCTTGGTTCATTTTTGTCAAAGGGTTATTTATGGACCAATAAGTACTGACTAGGAAGAGGTAATGCTCCCTGTACCAATTGAATACTGCTACATAAAACCTTTTAAGGACTGTATGATCAATAAGCTAATCAATAAGCTAAACTACACTAGTTAATGATTTACCAAAAAAAAACGACCTGAAATTTGTTTAGCGGAGGAGGGGAAATGTAAAACATGTAATATTGAATACATTGATCAGCCCTACATCAAAGCTGCCTCCATTGCTACAGGTGGAGGGAGAGGGCCTCTGATTGTGCCGAGGGACAGAGTGGGAATGAGTTTAAAGACATAAACAGAGCCTTCAAACTAGCACGAAGCTTGGTATTGTTATTTAAATGACAACCAAAATAAACTAAACAGGTCTGAAGTTTTTTGATGGTTTGGAAAGCCACTCATTACCTGCGGAGCAATCGAAAGGAACTGTGTTCTGTACTGAATCTGTGCTGAAGACTGCTGACTATATGTTCCATGACGTGTAACCTTGAAAGGGTAAAAAATCTGGTTGTGCTTTGTGTGTCTCGATGCAATGCCAAAGTTTACATACATTATTTCAGAGTCATTCGCTCTGTGGACTACGCTGGTCTGACCTGGTTAAAGGCAACGCAGAATCTCCTTACTCACTCACTTGGATGCTACTGATGATTTAGTGCCAAAGGGGGTCCATTTACTGTGTCATTGTATGCTGGTGTAGGATATTCAGTGAAGTGGTCTTACACTGTTGAGAGTCTGCTGTTGACTGTATAGAAAGTCCTGCTGGATTAGCGTGCAGCGGTGGGGCTGAGCAGAGAGAGAGGAATTGGGTTTGGCTGCGCTTGATGCACTAAGTCTGCAAAGCTAGCAAGCTTGACTGAGTTTTCTGCTGGAGGCTGGAGTGCATTAGAAGGAGAGGAAGGGCAGTCCATCACACTTCCATCTGAAGAAATTGGGCTGATGCATCTGGCGTCTCCTCGCACGAACCGAATGCACTTCTTTTTCTTCCTGAGGAACACGAAAGAGAGTTACCCGTGAATAAAGCAACACGGGGTGTCATCAACTCAGACCTGAGCTCTGGTATCAACAGCTGTGTCCTTTGCTCATCCTGATTCAGGGTGATAACCGTGTTTCAAAAATCATCAGCAGCCCCACAGAAAGTTATTCAGATATTCAATTTAAAACAAATATATATTTTTTGTTGATGTGAGTTTGTATTCCCATCAAAGTGAAGCAAAGCAGCAGTGAGAAGAGAACACATTCCCTCTGGTGAATGAATCAAAGGGTGTTGAGACCTGAATACTGGATGGATGAAAAAAAAAATTGAACATTGCTAGATCAGGTATAACATGGGTTGGTTGCAGAGCTCAGGGTATATTGGCCATTAATAATAATAATCTTATTTGATACAGCGTCTTATCACGTCTTTGAGAAGTCTCAAAGCGCTTCACAGAATATACTGTAAGGTGAATTGACCGTACGTTTTATGGGCGAAACGTGGCAGCCAATTGCACACAGCAGCGTCCCACAAACAGATCAAATGACCAAATTATTTATATTTATTGGGACCCAAGTCAGGTGTAGATACGATTTATATAGTGCCTTCCACGTCAGGAGGACGTCTCAAAATCCCAAGGGAGCTTCGGATGAAGAAAACCCTTTGCTTCATTTGAACCCATCAATTCCAGAATCCTTACAGAACACCAACCCTCCTACTCTCCCATCACAGCAACCCTTTTTTTAAAAATTAAAAAAAGTTTTCTGGTCTCAACATAAATTGCCCAAAACGCGAAGAATGTGGGTGACAAATGAACTGACATTTTTGCTTCCACGTGCAACACAATTTCTATTGTCATTTAAGAGACTGGGAGCACAGTAATAATAACAATCAATAATTCTCACACTTGATATCGTGCCGTTCATGTCAGGAGCACTCAAAGCACTTCACAGGATTGATTGTAAAGTGGTGTGGCGGTATTTTTATGGGCAAAATGGTTTACTTGTGGAGATCAAATACATTTCAATGTGGACTTACTCAGAATTGAATGAGATAATTTCTTTGAACTTCTATTTGCCAACCATAGAATTGTTAATCAATTCACAATGGACCATTTGTTCCCCTGTCTCCACATCCTCCTCACACTTCCCTGGGAGAAGAATCTGTGAACCCATTGAAGAAGCAATCTCTTCATCAGAAAGTTCTTTGTGGTGAGTCTTTTTTCCCGTTTGCGTGTAAGAACCCGACAACATAAAATCGCGTGGCCGAGCATAATGTCATGGGAAATGGCTTGTTGGCTGTTTTCCTGACAAAAAACTGGTCCAAAGAAACACGCCCTCCTTCGAGGGCACATTCTGTGTAACAGATGTGAAAAGTACAGTCAAAAATAATGAGAGGAATCACAAGCAGGTTACAGACAGACAGAGTAATATTGGTACCTGCAGGAGGGACACCACATCTATTGTAGCTCAAGCTCGAATAATGGGCGGCAGTTCATTGTGGAGTTTGCATCTGTTAGCGTGAAGTAAACAAAAACAACAATGGAGGAATATATTTTGTTTTTTTAAAAAAAAAAGAAAGGAGTTAGTACGCAATCCAGGAGAGAAACAGGGAGATAGCAAGTCTGCTCCAGGTAGAGTCTTCACTCTTCAGGAAGGTTTTAAAGAGGTTGTATCTTTGCGGAAAAAAAATACATATTTTTGTTTGGAAACAACTTTTTATTTGCCTGGCCCTTTCAGACTGCACTTTTTAAAAAAAAATACCCCACAAATTGTACAGAACGGCTTTCGAACGAGAGACCCGGCCCTATGGAAACCTCCGATATTGAAGACCACCAGATGAAGACAGTGACGGAATTCCAAGTTCCCTCTTTTTTTTAAAAAAAAATGTATTTATCTATTTGGCCTCCAAAATGCTTTCTTTGAGGTGGCGCGGGGAGGTTCAAGGCGTGATTCTGAGGGAGAATCCAGCCAGCAAGAGGGCAAATAAAAGAGATACCGCCTCTTTAAAACGTCCAGGTGAAGCTTCCCCAAAAGTATCAGCGGAGGTGGTTGATATTGTCCTGTGGAGTCCTACGAGTGACACCTGGCAGTAAGAGTGGCTGTTGCGCTCTGCTCCAACAATACACACCTGCAAGGGGGACACCAGTTTGTCCGTTGGTCAAGGCCAAAGAGTGCCCGGCATTTCTTAGGAGAGCTTGGATCTGAACGGAAAGCAGAACGACAACAGAAACAAAAGAAAAAAGAAAGAGAAAAATGTGGCAGGCAAGAGGACGGGCAGGGAAAGGCATGAGAGGAGAAACAAAGGAAAGAAAAGCAAGCGGGCGTGACAGCAACCAAGACCGTTAATCATTCGACAAGCTCAAGTCGTTTGGTTTTTGTTAGCAAGCGAAATACTTAACGTACCAGGAGCAGGCAGTGTGTGAGTTGGGGGGTGGGGGTGGGGGGGGGGAAGGGGGAGTTATCTCCGATCGATTGTAAAGACTTTAGAAAGCAACGGAAGCAGAATTCGGACATTAAAGTAGAGATGGTTAAAATGAATAAAAACTGACGGCAAAAAAAAACAGAACAGTTACAGGATTTGCATCGGGCAAAGGTTCGATCAGAGCATAAGCCTGAGAAACAGCCAAAGTATAGCACGACGAGAGAAACGCAAGGTCGATCGTGGAAGCCCTCCCTAACTCCACCGGCCGCAACAGAGGACTTTGTTAGAAATTGCTGACTCGGTGGTTAAATGCACGAGACTCTGTGACGCTGAGCCCGTGCTGGAGCAGTTGTGTCCATGGTCCATTCCCTTCTCCGGGCTATGGCCTGATCTCAGCTGGGGAAGCGGTGATGGCACAAGAATTGGCCTCAGTCGTCCAGGTGAGGGAGGAGAAAAGCAATAAGGTTCCTGCTCTCAACTGTTATCCTTGGATAACAATTGGATTGGAATTAGCTTCCTCCATCCTCCTTGGAATCATAGATCATACAGCACAGAAGGAGGCCATTCGGCCCATCGTGTCTGTGCCCGCTCTTTGAAAAGAGCTGCCCAAATCAATTCCACTCCCCCGCGCTCTCCCCATAGCCCTGCAAACTTATCCTCACCAATTAATTAGCTACTTCTCTTTCAAAAGTTGTTATTGAATCGTCTTCTACCAGCCTTTCAGGCAGTCTGCAAACTCTCACTGGCTACGGTCACACACGGAAAGTGACTTGGCACTGTAGATCTATCAGTGTGTTTGAAACGAGAGGTAGAAACGGAGGTAAATAAATATTTGTTAGGTCAGGGTATCAAGGCATATGGGGCAAGGGTGGGTAACTGGAGTTGAGGTACAGATTAGCCATGATCTTATAGAATGGCAGAACAGGCTTGAGGGGCTGAATGGCCTCTTCCTGTTCCTATGAAATTGCAACTCATTACGTCACCCACTTTGGGAGGTGTGGGGAGAGAAGGTTGTTGGGAAAAACGTTGAAACACAAACAAAAAGCCTCCCCGATGGCGCAAAATCAAACTGTATTTTCTGGCAAAAGAGAAAATGAAAAGAGTACGGTGACTGGAACCAAACCACAAACACCAGAGAAGGCTGACACATTAATTGATGTGACACTTTCAATATTTATCCGTAACCAGTGTCCAAGCTTTCACGAGTCTCTTTCTTTGAGAGTAAAGTAATATTATCTTAAAAGGCAGCATTACACGGGTGAAGGATGTTTGCTCTTCATCTTTTCGGGAATGTTTTCTTCATTAAACGTGAAGGTGGTTTATTGATTGTTTCTGGGCCAAATTGAACCCGTTTGTACGTGTATATGTTCGTGTGTTTTTTTTTCTGTGTCTCCATCTTTCGCTGTGCGCTTTACTAATACGGTGGTAACTTTCTATACGACATGAGAGCTTTTCATTCAGCCTCGGAGATTTAAGGCTGTTCCTTAATTTGTGTGGCAAAGTTTAGTAACTCAGGAGCTGTCTCTGCCCCCTTCCTAGTTTGAAATGAATATGGCAAATAATCCTCACGTACATGTTATTATTATTTATTTATATATTCATGTGTGTGTTTTTTTTAAAGCAATCTTATTAAACTATTTTCATCGAATGGGGAAAAAAAACTCCCCCAACATGTCTGCATAATTTCTATATCAGTCTGCATTGCAAAACTTACCTGTCTTCTACCTACATCAACAGTATCACAATCACCGCCGTGTAACATTCTGGGTAGGAACTCCATTTGGGTCTAAATGTACTTAATTGACAGAACATTTCACACCATACAGCGTTTGGCAAATACTTCAATTCCGCCTTCATCTTGAAGCTGATTTTCTATAAGTTCTTTAAAGAACTACAGGAAAACAGCTTCAAATTAATGACCAAATTCAACAATTTGGCAAATTCTGGACACACTGAAATGCTGCACTGTATGAAGTAAGAATCAATCTAGGGTTAGGCGGAAAATTTTACTCCATATATGTGCAAAATGCAATTAACTCATATTTTAAGATGAGTGTACAGGATACGAAAATATGAATGTGAACAAATTCAACTCAATAATATATTACACACATGGGACCAAAATAATTCAACTTCATGAAAAAAAACATTTGATAAACCCTTTTTCCCTTTCTTTATAAAGGCAATTCATGTCTTCGAGACGTCTCAAAGCGCTTCGCAGAACGTACCATCAAGTGAATTGATTGTATATTTTGTGGGCGAAACGCGGCAGCCAATTGCGCAGAGCAGCGTCCCCACAAACAGTCGTGGATTGAACGGATCGAATTATTAATTGTCTTGCAATGATACCTTCTGACACTTCTTTCTCATAATCTGCTATCAGATTCCTGTGTGTATCGTCGAGGCTGTTATTTTTACACCCAGGTACCTGCAGCTTTTTACTACAATTAAGGCACATAATTCCATTGTACATGGAAGGAAAACAATGCTCTTACCTCCGTCTGAGTCCTGCTGCTTCTCTCGTTTTCGCCTTTTCTTTTTCCCCTGCAATTATACGTGCAAAATGCATTACTATTAATATTCGGATGTGCACGGAATACGAAAACATCAAATGCGAACACGTCAAGTTTCCCATCTCGATTCCTAGTGACTATTGTTAGTGACTGCCTCTAAATAATCCTTAACTGAGGGTGAGCCTGACCTCTTTGCGATAACATTTTTAAAATAAAGTAGTTCATCCCTTCTATCTTTCCCAGGCACTTCCAAGACAGAGAGTGCGAGTTCCCCACTCCCCGGCCTCCATCAATAGTGTCACGTTTCTGTATCCATTGTTCTAATATATAAACCACATAGAAACACTTAACGTACAATTGGATTGCAGTATGTAACTGACTTTCCGGTATCTGTTGGTTGAGGTACTGTCGTTAACTTTTTTTTGATGACTTTTAAGTTAAATGAGCATCTACATTTGATAATCAGCCTGTGATTGCCCGGGTCAAACCGAGGACCCATCTGACTGTCCACGTTGACGTAAAAGATCCTATGACGCTGTTCGAAAAGAGAAGGGAGAAGAGAGTTTCTCTCTCCTGGTCTCCTGGCCAACAATCCCCCTCCCCGCCCCAAATAAAATTATTCATTCACTCCATGGCTGTTCGTGGGACACACACAAATGTAATATGTTGCTGTGCGCAATTGTGCTGCGTTTCACCCACAAAATACGCAGTCAATCCACATTACAGTGAATCCTGTGAAGTGCTTTGAGACGTCTCGACGACGTGTATATATATACATAAGAGGCTACATCAAATGCAACAATTTTTATTATTATTATTATCGCAGTTAGTGATTTTTTGTATCAGAATTGCCACCACCAAACTGGTCTTCAAAACAAGTTTAACGTTTAATGTTTTTAAATATTGTATCCCGCCAGCCCTACCCATCAAAGCTGCCATTTTGAACGTAACTGGGGCAGAAACAAGCTCGCTCCTGGCTCAGGTGCCCACCCACCTGCCCCGTTTCCTCGGCAGCACACAGCACAGTCACAGACACGCTAAGCATGGTACCATGTTTCTTAATCCGCCTGGTCCACAGATGGGAAAACCAGTCACGCTAAGGGTTATTACGTTGGACCAATTATCCCCAGAACAATCGACTTAAAATGCTGCGATCAAATGATCAAAGAACAGCAACAATATTCGTTTCAGCTAAAGCAAAATGTTGAATTCAAATAAAAAGATGTGTTGCGTGTCCCAAAATGATGCATTCTCTGGTGACGACAACAGGAACGTAACTTGAAAACAAGACAAAAATAATCAATTTATACACATATATACACATATAATATATATATATATATATAAAAAAGCTGACTGAATGAATCAGGATTATCTTTTTGGCATTTGGAGATAACCTTTAAGTTTGAAACATAAGTGTTTGTGGTTTCTCCGAAGATGGAACAGTTGATCACCACAATGTCCTGCGATCGCGTGGGACTATTCTGCTTCCTTGCCTTGTTCAGGAAACATGACCTAGATTCCAGTTTCTCATTCACTTCTTACGAGATGCCCAAGGAGCACGCAAACCATTATGCCAAGAGCTTGAATACGTTTTACAAGTGGATCTGTTCCAGGATTTGGTGGTGGTGGGTGCGGTGGGGTGAGGTTTGGGTGGAGGGAAGTGGAACAGCTAATAAACCCAGCGTCCAGCTGCCAGGTTCTTAATCAAGAAAAATAAACAAGATAAAAGTGTTTGATCTCAAAGCCTCAGACAGACATCGCGTATAAAAATATGTAGCACAATACACTACGGTGGGTAGAAGTGGGAAGAGAAATCGAACCAGAAAAGAAATCTCGATTCGCNAAAAAACTTTACACAAATCCCTTAGTTTTCGTCCGGCAAAACTAGTCTCGTAAGAAGAACCCTGGACACGGTTTTGGCACAGGGACTGGAAAATTCAGGATGGGGTTTTTACAGGAAAAGATTGTCATCTTATGGACGATAATCACACTCTTGTAAGTTTTCTGCTTTCATTTCATTGTCTCTCGGTGGCTGGATTGCTTTGGCTTGACATATGTTTTGTTTTGCTGTTAGTGAGCTGTTGGATTGGGAATTTAAGGGTCAGACTGTAGGAACAAGTTAATGAACCTGTAAACTCACGAGAGGGCTTCACCTGAGGAATGTAACCTGCTCGCAGTTTATGAACCCGTACGAACCTTCAAAAAAATTCCTTCAAAAAACATTATAATAATAATGAATTGGTCACTCAACCCACGACTGTTCGTGGGGACGCTACTGTGTGCAATTGGCTGCCGCGTTTCGCCCGCAAAGTATACAGTCAATTCACTTTACGGTATATTCCGTGAAACGCTTTGAGACGTCTCGAAGACGGGATAGGGCGCTGTATCAAATGCAAGGATTATTATAAGCTTTCAGTGTGAGCTACGTCCATCTTATTCAAAATATTACGTAAAAAAAATGTGGTTTGTCAGTGCTTTCTCTATCCTCGGTCCTGATGATTCTCACCAGATTTTGTGACACCTCAGCCCGTGAATTTGAAGACAGATTGTTAAAAGGTCCAAGGAATGGGTTGGCAGGGTTTGTCCTCAGTGCGAGGACACAATGCCACTTGAAGGGTTCAAGGGACCATCACAGCCCCTAAGATACTCATGAACCTCGAAACTCCGGGTTTGTTCGAATCTTTGCTTCGATTTTGTCAAAGGCATAATTCAGAATTCTGTTCATTATTCACAAGGAACTCAACAACAACAGCAGCAGAGGCAGCAACAACAGCAACAGTTTGGACCAGATAATCATTGCCCAGAGCTTACCCTCCCTTGATGAGTGCAGTTACGATCGACAATCACACTCCTGTTTAAGCCCCAATAACGTTTTGTAAACGTGCAGATGTTATATGGCCCCAATTTTACCTGAAAACCACGAGCCAGTCCGCCACCGAGGCCACACATATATTATACATGTTTCAGTTCAACGTCTGTCTTCCCACTTGTCTTTTGGAGTTGTTCCCAGCAACTCTTTTCAGGGTTCAATAACTTTTTTCCCTTTTCCGGGCGAGTTCTAGCTACACATGGGCCGCATGTGTTCCGAGACATGATGATCATGATGACGGTTTGGCTTGAAGTTAAACGTCCTATTTAATGCGATGACGTTCTCAAAATTCTAACATGCCAAGGAAAAGACACAGATACGTCCACAAATTTCACATAATCATCCCTTTTTTGAAGCCTCCGTAATAATATTGATACAAATGACGAACAGTAGAGTAGAGAGCAATCCAGGAACCTTTGGAATTGCCAAATTCACGGCATATAAATCTATAGAAGACAGAACCAGCTGGATGATGTTGTTATAGATTCAACGAGTTAATATCATCTGGGGGATCAAAGAATGGATGCCTTTTGAAAAACAAACTTACATAGTTATCTCTGGCAGACCAGCCTGGGTAAAGTTGCATGTGTAGCTGTCGTTCTTTTCGTGCCAATTCATAGTACTTTGCCTGCTCTTCACGTGTCAGCGCGTGCCACTGAATAAAAAGAACAATGCAGGGGTTAGGAACCCTTGTGCTAAAGGGCTCTTCTGAACTGTTCACATGATAATAATCCTTGCACTTAATATAGCGCCTTATCACGTCACCGAGACGTCTCAAAGCGCATCACAGCATCAACTGTAAACTGAATTGACTGTATATTTTGTGGGAGAAACAACGCGGCAGCCAATTGCGCACCGCAGCGTCCCCACAAACAGTCGTGGATTGAGTGACCAAATTAATATTTTTTAAAAAATATATATTTTTTGAAGGGATTATTAACCCCCAGAAGAGCGATCCGCCAATCGACTAATAACTGGGTTCCTATTTACTGCTAGGTGAACAGAGGCGTGTGGAGTGAGGAAACTTGCAGAATGTTTCGCCCTACTCGGGAATCGAACCCAGGTCCTCTCGCTTGCGAGGCGAGCGCTCTAACCACTGAGCTGCAGGACTCCACACTCACTATTCCTGTTAACATTGTGTGTTGGAGTTGGTAGTTTTGGGATCAGACATTCATTTATTCAGAGCTAACGGTAATGAACATTTTCACTTACTCTTCTCCCCAGGATTTGATTGATGGCTGCACTCTCTTTCAGGGTACACTCAGCTACAACCTTTGCTCTCATTTCCTTCATGTAAAGCATAAATGCATTCAGGGGTTTCTTGATGGCAGGCTTTTTACTTTCTTTTTCCCTTTTTGGTTCTGGATTAGGTTTCCTAAAGAAAAAATGACACCTTCTTAAGAATAAGAAATAAATAAAATAAAACAAATTCTTGAACGTTTGAATTATTTTACAGAAGGAGCAACAAAGTAGAATGTTATCTTGGCATTCCCTGGGATGTGGATTGAAGTCGGTTAAAAAAAAATGCCTTGCATTTGCTCTCTCTGAAATAAAGTGCGTTTGATACGGAAGAGCTCCAGCAACAAAATTGCTCTGAGATTTAGTACAATGGCAGGAATCCACTAAAACCACTCCAAACAGGCTTCAAAAATAAGAACAGGATTGTATTAGGAGTAGAACCCATTCAGGTCATCGGCTGTGTATTTGGTAAATGAAATTTAAAATGATGATAGCAAGTTTAAAAGGGAGAAAGATAGCTAGATATGTGTGACGTAAAGATATTGAGAGTTATGGAGAAAAGGCAAGCTCTAAATGTAATTCAAAGATCTGCCAATGATCTAATAAATTGGTGGAACATACCGCATGAGATGAATCTCCTCATATTTCTATGTTCCTATGAATAATTCACTCTTAACAGCAAGAGACCTGGACTGCTCAAGTTACTCACACACAGCTCAGTGACGATGAATATTCTCACCCTAATTCCTTTCTAGCCTTCAAAGATAAGGTTTCACTTTACAGTGTATTCTGTGAAGCGCTTTGAGCCGCGTCAAAGATGTGATAAGATGTGTAATAATCCTTGGATCAAATGCAAGGGTTATTATTATTATTATTATTATTATTATTAATAATAACTCTGTATCATTCTTAAAATGGCTTTATGTTACTGGTGTTTCACCAAGTGTGTAAAGGTAGGATTGTAAAATAATGGGACCAATAACTTGTTGACCAATGCTCAGGTTTGTTTCCATCAACTGATTTTGTTGAAGCGACAGATCTGGAATCTGCGAGGAGAAAGCATTACAGTAAGGAAATCATAGCACGAGCAAGTGTGTCCTAATGGGTTTCAGAGATTCCACATGAGACAATCCTGCCCTTCCCCTCAAAAAACTTCTACTGGTAAATATAGTGGTGAATTACTTGCCCTCTCCTGTTTAATACCTATTGATCTTTGCTGGGTGCGGACATGATTGGACTCAGTGATAATGTCGCCGTTGTAGAATGATTCACTGTTTAGATTTGGGTACGCTTCAATAACGACTACTTGTACAAGGTATTGGATGACTGCTAACATTCACGGAAATGTTTGCCAGTGTGAATCAGTGCTTTCGGAGGGGGAGAGGATAACATTCAGGAAAGATAACTTTGTTTTTAAATACACTGCAACCCAACTGGTATTTAGTTTGATTAACTATGCAGATACCCAGCAATTTAAAGACTAAGAATACTGAAACTATCGTAGCTCAAGTCTGTATACATTACAAAGGAATATTGTCTCTTTAATATGCTGCATCTGTTTATAACTCTTATCCTGAAATTGGAGTTTGATTCATACAATGCCAAATATAACATAGTTCTCTAATTATGTCATTTATAAGTAACAGATAGTTGCTTTGTACTGTAGTTGCTAAACTTCTACAGTCTAAATGGTTAAGTAGATAATTATTTCCAGCTTCACACTTTGTTGTGGCTCTAAATTAAAATTAAATTAAAAGCAAAATGATCCCCATGTTCTGCCTTTCCCCAGAATGTATACAGAACATATTTACTTCCTAGATATCTGCTTGTTTTACCCCACTTGTCTCTGTGCAGAGTTGGCTGATTTGTGATAATTAATCGGTGTCATTGAGCTGAGGACTGGAAACATCAGTCTGGGTTCCCGTGTCTGCTCTGGATTGAGATCACTTGACTTAGAATTATAGATTACAGTACAGAAGGAGGCCATTCGGCCCATCTTGCCTGTGCCGGCTCTTTGGAAAAGCTACCTAATCAGTCCCACTCCCCGGCCCTTTCCCCAAACCCCTGCAATGTTTTTCCTATTCAAGTCCCTATCCAATTCCCTTTTGAAAGTTGTTGTTGAATTTGTTTCCACCATCCTTTCAGGCAGGGCATTCCAGACTGTAACAACTCTTGTTCAAAGATTCCTGTTGGACGGACGCTAAATGGGGAGAGGATTGGGACCCTGGTTATATAACCTGTTGACACTTACTACAACAGCAACTACAACAACAACTTGCAATTAAATAGCGCCCTTCACACAGGGTGGTGTCTCCGAGCGCTTAGAAACATTCGTGCTATCTCGGTTCACACATGCAAAATGGTTCCGCGGTTGAGAGCCAGGAAAGCTCCCAGTGTGCGGAGAGCAGTATCGCAGCAGCACTTTAAAGGAGCAGGAAAGACGTCGTTGGAAAAAGAGAGCAACAAACTGGGCAAAAAGAATCAAATTCTAAAACAGATACACTCATCAGAGAAACACAGCCAGAGAAATAAAGCCAATAAGCTTCTCCAATACTGCCAGGGTTTTGATCGGTTCATTTTTTTTTTGATCGATGTCATTTATAAAAGCCGAATGATTCACTAAGGCACAACATGCAGTTTACCCTCTCTTTGGATAGCTTGAAAATCATTTTCAACTTTTAAAAACGCTAGCCTCGATGGCCAATGTTATGTTTTTCCCCCAAACCCAGGAAAAGGTCCATTGTTTTTAACTGTCCGCGTGTAAAAAATGCAACCCCATGAATCAACTGAGTCACCAAAGGCCTTGATACTTACATGCATCTGAGCCCATAGTCATACTGATTCATTTCTGCTTTGCTTGAAGTGGTTACGATGGCAGGATGGGGGATTCCTGTCGAGTGCATGCCTGGAGGTCCAATCACCAGAGGATGAGAAAACCTGGATGCAAGCGAAACAGAATGAATTCAGGGGCTGGGTATCACAGTGTGACACAGGATATTGGAAACAGTTCCCCCCCCCCCCCCCTCTGTCGTTAGCAGCTGTTAGCAAGGCACACAGAGCCCTTGGGAACTGACTGAACTGGCACTCACAGCAATGAGTTAGATTTCCCCAAGCTTGGGTTACGTAAAACTTGGGGGAGAAATGCGGAGCTCCATAAGTAAGTTCTGGTTGATTTTTCTAGTACCTTGTTCATACTGGATCAGGCAGGCGGTCATAGCAATGTGCCAATGCCATTATTATTACCATTTCAAAAGGCTGGAAGGATTTCTTCCTTTTATACCTAGCACTGTGATATAGTCCGTACAGTTATGTCATGTTGGGTGCGCTTGAAACAATGGAATTGGCATCACTTCCACGGCACATCGTGTTTTGGGGCTACAATGTGTAACTAAGTAAGTAGTGAGTTAATGCTTAACATATCCCCCAATGTGAGTTCCTGATCGTGGATCACATCACGCTGTTATTATTATTTTATTACTGTTAATATTTTCCCCCAACCCTCCATCCTACGCATAATGCGTTGTGTGGGAGAGGACACCTTTTCATCCCTCGGTTGTTTCGGATGCAAAAGATATCCCAAACTGGGCTGCTTTGTGTCAAAACCTATTCAGTTCTGAATTGAGTGGTTATTGGAATCTCATTGATGGAGACAATAGAAACAGGATGATCAGACTTCACTATTTTTCCAGGAGAAGGGTTAGAGTCAACAGTCATTGCTAGACACACATCAAATCAGAGATGACAGGATACCAGTGCCCTGTTTTGACCACAAAGAATTTCCTTGTGATTGAGGAGTTTCAGAAGAGATTGACACCTGAAGCTGTATGTATCCATAAAGCCACGGAGAGGAGCAAAGTAGGCACGTTTAGAGAAAAAAAAAGCAAACAGAGAAGTACAGTAAAGCCTGGTGGAAAACTGGACGATTGGGGGGGAAAAAAATTACTGTCCAAAGATGAAAAAAAACCTGACGAAAATTGAAATTATTTTAGAAAACTGGTTATTTTTTAAAAAATCAAAAAAAAATCTTTAAAATGACATTAATTCATGAAAAGTGTCTGGCAAACCTTTCTTTTTTTTTTCTACATTCGCCCATTTTCATTCTCTCCTGATTCGTCCTGGGCCGTATGAGGCCAGCGAAGGCAAGGAGCGAAAAAAAAGTATTTCCGCACCAGGTTTTACTGTGTTTCTGTAGTGAAGCTCGTTTTGTGATGGCACAGTTATAGGATTACATCCTGGCCCACGCCCCACTCACTAGCCCAACACTGATGTTGCCTGTTACAGATACACACAACAGGCTCGGTAGAGTTTCGGCACCTTGGCACACGTTCCTGAAGCGAAAGGTGCAAAACAAATGTAAATTTGTTGACGTTTGGGTGGGTGATTGGGTTACGTTTACTTTATTTCGCTGCGCTTAAGATATTTCGGATTATCTTCAGTGTCCCGATACCAAATTAGTCCGAAAAAAAAATGGAATTCAATGTTACGGAGCCCGTTGTGAATGTAACAAAATGGCACAACAATTTGATGCAAGTGCAATAGAGAATGATCCACTCATTAGACATTAGAGGGCACAAGTAAAGCAATACCCAGGGCCCAATCTTCAGCAGAGCTCTGCCATCTTAAGCTTTGAGATGACAATAGAAATCCAGTGAGCTCTGCTGGGATCTGACACCTGGGGATGACCACATGGCTGGTTTTGTCCGAAAGTGGTTCGTGCTGCCTAGGTGTTTGTGGCGGAAGCCGCAAGCTATGAGACTAGCTTTGCCGCTTGCTAGTCTCACACAGCCTGTACCTACCTGGATATGGAAGAGCTGGGTGGAAGCGCTGTGGAGTAAGGTTGTCTAAATCCACAGGATGTAATTGGATAGACAGACTGACCTTGCCTGGGATCAGGGAAAAAAGGATCTATCAGCTGTTAGGCTTTACAGCCTTTATCTACGAATGAACTAGAGCGTAACAGAGACCGTGTCTTGCAGTTAACAAATTCTGATCATTGGCACGTATTCACTTCATTACTTCTTTGTGAAATCCTGACTTTGAAGGGACTAGATGATGGCTCAAAGGGTTGGCACACTTTCACAGCAAGGATTGGGTTTCCAATCCACGCATCACTGATGAGATAAACCTCTCTCTCTCTCTCTCTCTCTCTCTGTTGCCTGAAAGGTCCTATGTGTTTGCGACTGTTTTCCAATTGTCCCATATTTTTTGCATCTTCTGAAGACAGTGACATACGCTGGTGTAACACTTCCAGGGGCATACGTAGACCTTTTTCACATTACCCAAATGGATATTCTTCACGTGCAAGGCTAGGCAGTCTACGCCACACTGGAGTTGGAACTCCTATTGTAACACACTTCAATACAATGTGGGTTCACTTAACAAAGCGTGAAGCCAGAGCTGGTTTCCCAAGTGATAAAAGTGACCAACTAGCAGGTCATTGGGTCATTACCTCATTACCGAGGTTACTTCCTACCCATTGTGCGTGTGTCTGATGTTCCGGAAGTTGGTTATTATTTTATCACAGGAAGCTGCTTTCTGTGTGCATTCGCAGCGCCCAACAGCAATGTTTCAAAGACATGGGAGGGCACACGTGTGGCACCATCAAACGTTAATTCTGCTGTTTGGTCACATTATTGTCCTGGTAGCACACAACTTGTGTTCAAAGCAGTTATGTTACACAGGTCTGAGGGGTGAACAAGGCAGATCTACTAAGCGCAATAAATATAAACCCTTTCAAACTGCTCCACCGCCGCAGAACCAAATTGTTCAGCCTTAATTACTCACTGGTCTCTCTGAAAGAGAGATGAGAACAAACATCTTCTATGTGTAAATAGGAACATGGTTTAATAGAGAGAGTTTTGAGCTTATTCTCTCACAGGCCCAAAACATATACGTACAATTAACACAGATAGAAAAACACAAGAGTTCAAGGCTGGAATATGAATCGTTTGTCTTGGTTACATCATTCCCATTCCATAATCATGGCAATAGTCTGAATTTCACAAAGGCTCACTCTCAGGCCTGAGTGTAACCGAGTCCTATGTTGTTGTGAGAAAAATCAAGTGTCCCTTATGCTCCCCGTTTAATCATCTGAAAGAGCACTCTATAGTCTTGCGACTACAGGCATTTCTCAGAGGATTGGGTGGGTCTTTGAAAAGGTCATTATTATTCGCAAAAAGAATCCCAAATGGTTTTGGTCACGGGAGCCGATTGTAATTCATAAAGTGGCCATCACACAAGATTGAGGGTCACTTGTTTCACTTGATATTTGGCTAGGGGTGGATTTAATCTGTAACGGAGGAGTTGGGATGCTTTTACTGTTTTGTTTCGATCAATTTACTTTCAAAGTCAAGTCTTGGGGCACAGCTTTCCTCCAGTTCCTTACTGTTACATAAAAGAGAGTGATCTTTTGGGTCAGTGACAGGATTTGGCCCAGCATTGCCCGGGCAAGCAGTCTGTGCTAATTCAGGAGAGGAAGGAACGGGAAATCGTAGAAGAGTTTCCACGCTCAACATCAGCCTCGATTGGGAAATAGGTTCACCAAGCCAACTTCTCCATCAAGGAATAGTACAATTTGCCCACACAATATACAGTCAATTCACTTTACAATATACTCTGTGAAGCGCTTTGAAATGTCTTGAAGGCGCGATGAGGCGCTATATCAAATGCAAGGATTATTATTATTATTATTATTTTTATTATTTAATGCAGGAAAAATTTCTAGAAAAAAGTAGAAAAGAGTTGCTTCCCCCTCTCTTCCCCCATCCCTGACTTCGCTCTGTTCCTTTGCTGAAGGCAGTGACATGCTCGGGTATGAATTCACCAGAGCCAGTAACTCTCTAGTATTTTCCAGTAACTGTCATTCTAGTGTGTTTTTCTCCCCGTGGCAACAAAACTGATTGTTACCCTATAGTTGTTCAGCTGAGCTCAGCTAACTAACTCAGCACAGACGCTGATCTGAATTGCTTTCTAACCACCCGTATGGTAATATAATATTTATAATCCTGCACCACATTCGCATGTGGTACGTATTTGAAAACAGCTGTATCTGAGTGTGGGTACGAGGCAATATTAGTCAAGAGCTTTTTAATAAAAACAAGTTTATGATATAATTGGAGCTCTGTGTCATCCTCTATCATAGTGGCTGCTTTATGCAGTTAGAATACAGTTGGATATCACAAAGGGCACAGATTAATTTGGGTGAACATCATAGCAACATGGGCAGTTTGTAACCCAATTGTTTATTTCGGTCTACAGTACATAATCAACAAATATTGCTGTCAGTTTCAGCAATTAACTGCAACAAACCATAGCTGTGGCTGTGTTTCTTTTGGGAGAACTGAATAAAAGCACAGAGACCATCTAGTAACAGTGATTCCCTTATAACTCAATAGGAACTTGTGGAGCCCTGTAGTTTAGAGGTTAGAGCACTCGCCTCGCAAGCTAGAGGGCCTGGGATAGATTCCCGGGTGGGGCGAAACACTGGGCAAGTTTCCTTACTCCACACGCCTCGGTTAACCAAGCAGTATGTAGGTCGTTAGTCGATTGGAGGATCGCTTTCCCGGTGTGAATAATCCCTTCTCCCCCCCCCACTCCCAAAAAATAAATAATAAAACAATAATAATTTGGCCGCACAATCCACGACTGTTTGCGTGATACTGCTGTGCGCAATTGGCTGCCGCGTTTCACCCACAAAAATACACAGTCAATTCACTTTACAGTATGTTCTGTGAAGCGCTTTGAGACGTCTCGAAAATGTGATAAGGCGCTGTATCAAATGCAAGGATTATTGTTATAACTTTTCAGATCGGACTTCGCAAAGCTTCACTTACCATCCCATGGCAGGGCTGATCTGTCCAACACCACCAGGAGACAGGGAATAGAACGTAGCAAGATCAGGGCCTTGATGGGGCCTGTGCATACCTGTATAACACACACACACACACACAAAAATCAGCATATATACAGTATCAGTCTCTACAATTACAAAAATCTTCAAATCTATTGCACATACTGTGTGCTCTCCTACAAACACACACCACTCCCTCCCTGCCCGAGCCTTGGGATGTCCTCCCGGCGTCAAAGGCGCTATGCAAATATAATTTGCTGTTGTTGATGATACATACGTCCACAAAATATACAGTCACTACACTTTATGGTATATTCTGTGAAGCTCTTTGAGACGTCTCGAAGATGTAATAAGGCGCTATATCAAGTGCAAGGATTATTATTTTATAAGATTTTACTTCTAACAATTATTCAGTACTGCAGCTGAGTTTTGGGTTAATTTTTCAACGGCAAACTTCATTTTTAGATGTGAAAAATTACAGTACAGTCCTTATATTTTAATCGCTTTGGAAAAATGCTCTGACCCATATTTTCTATTAATGTGTTGACTTCAGAAATATAACACTTCCACAATTAAACAAGGCAATATATATTAAGCCGTAATGTTAAATTCTTGATTAATTGTACACCACATTAACACAACTTAAAAGGAACTGTGGAAAACTGACCTCTAAATTGAGATGCAATTGAAAGATTTGTTAAAAAACTGCATGATATTAAATTTTAAGACAATGATCTTAAGAATTTTAAGAACACGTCTCAGAGATAATCTCCCAAATTAATCTGTGCACTTTGTGATATCCTCAGAAACTTTTGGCAACCTTTCTCCTCCCTGACTTAAAAAATAAGACACAAATGAAATCACTGTTATAAAGAAGTCGTGAGAGGATGTCCCTGTTTCTAGTGTAAAATAACCCCCATTTATGAATTTCATTTGGAAATTTGGGAGAATGGAAATTCTTAACAACAGCAAATTCCTACTTCGGTAAATCCTATTTGTTTGCAAGGTTTGACCATTGTTCGGTTTGTTCCTACGAGAAAACTCCTGATCAGTATTGGATCGTCAAGAGGCTGCGGATGACATGGAGTGAAGGAAAATTGGAAGTGAAGATTGGATTGACATCAATATAAATTTCCTGGTGAATTTCAAGCACCTTATTTTCGTCAGACTCAAACGTTACAAAACACACTCGAATGTGGTGATCTGACTCCCGGTGAGGAACATAATTGAGGAGATGTGAAAAGTTAAAAGAGCTATTCACTCTGATATATATATGGCCGATATCAGTCTGGATGTTCAAGGTCATTTGATTGCAAAGGTTAATGATAGGGCTATTCCCCATTTATCAATAACATTATACAGATGAAGTACAGAAGGAATGAAACTTCCTTCACCTTTGACAGCTGTTGGTAAGGAATTAACCATTTTTAAAACTTATTTCATGCATTCCCAATCCTCAATAGACTTATTATTACACCAGCAGATGATGAAAGGTCAAACTATGTGAAGCTCTTTGAGATGTCTCGACGACGTGATAAGGCGCAAAATCAAATGCAAGGATTATTATTAACATTATTATTATTCCACAGGCCTGGGTTAATTGATGGATAATCCTTGTACCAATTGTTCTTTGTGATAAATGTTTCTTTTAAATAATCCATTTCAAGGGAACATATCATCAGGACTTCCAGGCTTTTGTTTTCTGGTGTCTGTCCTGAATATTCTGCTATTTTGGTGCGTCTGAAAGTTTTGTGCTGGGTTTACATTCTCAATTCCATTTTAAGATCCCGTCCACCTAAATTTGCTTGTGCGATAATGACAACAATCCTTGCATTTGATATAGTGCCTTATCACGTCTCCTTTCCAGACTGAAAACACTCCCAAGATGGTAAAGAGCTGACTGTAAAAAGTTGTGTTGCCTTGCGTGTGGCGTTGGGTACAATGCAAATGTCTTCTCTGACACAAAGTGTGACAATAACATTTTCAGAGCCGTCTGTTTCCAGGATGTACCAGGAACTGAAGCTGCCCACAGAGCTCCCTGAAGTCTTTTATGTCGCACAGGCTGAACTGGTTCCAGAACTCAGAGCTTCACGTGCACAGGCCTTGACATTTAGATATTACTCACAGCCCTAAAGATCAGCTTCACTTTGTTGCTGTTATTTCCGGTCAATTCCCACACACAAGCACACTACAAAGGCATGTGTGTTTAATTTATTCACAGCCCACGTTTCGTCTGTCTGAGAGCAGGAAGGGGTTAAACCACAGTCTGTCGATCTGTGTTAGATCCACGGGTACGACTACTGCTGTTCGTTCAGATCACGGTTCATTTTGGAAATTTTTCAAGGCCTCCCTAAAGTGCTCAGGGAATCTTTTTTTCTCCTCCCCAGAACAAGTCCTCAAACTGCTGTCCTTTTCTGGCTGAGAACAGCTAACTCAGCAGAAAACAGGGGTAACACCTCAGTTCTTCTTGGTCTGCAGATCCCAGTACCACACCACACTGGTTGGGTCGCGCTGTTTGAAAGGGTGGTGGAAGCAGATTCAATAGCAACTTTCAAAGGGGAATTGAATCGGTACTTGAAGAGGAAAACAAATCGCAAGGATATGTGGAAAGAACGGGGGAGTGGGACTGATTGGGTAGCACAGACATGATGGGCTGAATGGCCTCCTTCTGTGCTGTAATATTCTATGATTCTATGGTGCTTCCATCCACTGAGCTCCTGAAGGAGACCTTCTTAATTAAGTCTCAAAATGGACTCAGCTTTTCCATTAGATACAGACCTTGAATCGACAGAGAATTGCTCTCCCCTGAAAGATACAGTCGATTGGCTGAAGGGATAAAGGGATAAATTGTCAGGATTCACTGACAAATGCTATTGATTTTCCAAAAAAAACGAGAGCAGATTTTCTATGAATGACCTGCCTGAACGGGTGGTGGAAACAGATTCAAGAGCAACTTTCAAAAGGGAATTGGATAGGTATCTTGTACTGAACAGTAGAACCAGGGGACACGGCCTGCGATCGAAGGGGGGTAAATTCGGAACAAACCTGCGGAAACACTGCCTCGGTGAGCGAGTAGTAAACTTGTGGAATGTCATTTGTTTCAAGAACAAATGAGATCGATTTCTGCTAGAAAATAATATCTGGGGATGCAGTGAATAGTTTGAGACACGACATGTCACAAGTACTGGCCAGGATGGTGGAAGGCGAACTAGATGGACCTTGGTCTTCTTTGGCCCAGCCAACACTTCTGTTCCGACGTTCTCTTACCTGTTTTCTGGTTGATGTCAGCCGGCAGGTGTGGGGAGTGGGAGGAGGGGCTGAAGTGCTCGTTGCTGTAGGAGATGAGGGGTGTGAGGGGATGGACCGCGTGGGATGGCTGCACCACAGGGACCTTATTCGACTGAAAACCAAAAAAAAAAACACAACAAAATCAGAATGTTTAGCGTGCGAGAGACTCTGGACTACGACGACAACAACTTGCATTTGCGTAGCGCCCTTCAGGCGAGGCAGCGTCCCAGGCCGCTTGTCTGGGCAACCGAACAATGTTTGTTGAGGGGCATCCGGTGCGACGATGCTATCGTTCTAACGGTAACATCTCACTTTGATTTGGGCTGGTTTGATTTTGTTCATTGCTGTCCTTTCACGCTGCCTTTCGCCCAGAAAACACACAGTCACTACACTTTACAGTATATTCCGAACAGCTGGATATAAGCAGATTGCTCGAAAAGAGATTCTGCCGGTTTCTGTGTGGTTCATTATCTTATTATATAATATCTTCTCATTATCTTAACAAATGGGCTTTGCTTTGCAAACAACCTGAATTGTTCTTAAAGTGTAAGGTTGGGCAGAATTGTTCTAAATCACACATTTAGTCTTAGCTTCCCAACAGCTGGCTTTCAAGTTAAGAATTTTCCACAAATCTGTGTGATTTTATAATAAATAATAGTAATAATCCTTGCTTTTGACATAACGCCTTATCGCGTCTTCGTCTATAAAATATACGGTCAAGTCACTTTACAGTATATTCTGCGAAGCGCTTTGAGACGTCTCGAAGATGTGATAAGGCACTATATCAAATGTGAGTATTATTAGTGTTATTATTAATGCTCTACATTGTCCAGTCTCCTGTTACTCCAGCACAGCTCCCTGCCGTACATTCATTCGTCATGACTAGCGGGAACAAAAGCAATACCATACCAATCGAAAACTAAAACGTTTGCTAAAGATGGAAGACAATTATTCAATTAATAGGGATTGCTATCGCCACACACCTTGGCCAACAGAGAAACGTTTTGGTTTCAGTTTGAAGCCCGTTTGCTTTTTTATGTACATTGGAACTGACTTCAATCAGCTTTTCCCATGTGCTCACATGAAAGCGATTGGCTCACGCTTTAATTATCCACTCGAAACCACTTCAAGAGGCGCTTTTAAAATAGATCATTTTGAAATGGTTTTGCTCTGGGTTTCTGCAGCTTGTTCTGAATTAGTCTGGAAGCATTAGTGGCTGCAGAGCTTAAGATGTATGAAATCCTTGCCGGATTGGGGGAAAAAAAAGTAATTGTGTTAGTGGTTTCCAAGAACAGAGTAGCGTTGTTTTATTTTGGGACCGTAGTGAAAGCAGAGGGCACTTGTGTTGGTAACCGCCTGCAATTTCAATTACTGATTCATCCCGATTATAGTTGAAAACGTTAGAATATTGTGGCATCCTTAAGCCCATCCTCAATTTTGAAGGAACGTGGATCACTGCACTCAGTTATTTGCTCATGGCTGTTGAGCAGTTACGGTGTCTGGTTTTATTTTATCTGGAAACACGAAACTGCTGCATTTTGTCTTTGCAGATTCAGCAAAGTTTTGAACTCGACGCATGAAAATACGACGCAAGGAGCAAAGTCTAAAGCAATTACCGTGCGGCAGAACAGCTCTGAGAAAACAAATAACATCAGATATTTCACACACATTTCTCCGACTGACTAGTTAGAATGTAATGTACAGATTAGAGCGTGTGCTTTTGCGCTGGAATAGTAAACGGTCATAAGTTCACGTGAAGCTATCAGTGAGCTTTCCCAATGGTTTGGTGTATGTGCTGTATGATGAAACAACACAGACTAGAAAGGTTTGAGCTTCACATTTGACCGGCTGGGCTGACTTTGTCGGTAACAGACAGAGTTGTGGTTGAGGCGGTAGGATTAATATTCATGGAGCTCTCCGACATGGGGCCGGGTTAAAAACAATCATCCAGACTCTCACTATACACTATACTCCTGGAAAGTTTGCGCGTATATTGGGCGGAACAAATAAGGTTTTCCTTTCCTCATGAAGTTTTCACGATTACCTTCCTTGGAGGGGAGGTAAGTGAGGTCTCCTTGGAACTAACTGAACTGGCAATGGAATACTGGAAATGAGCCAACTACAGCGGTCTCAGTAACCCAGTTCCTGTGCCGGCCGGGTTCTGCGCTACTGATGACAGCACAGCCCAGCCTGACTCATCGGGGGGACCTGGCAGGGCAGACCAGTCATTGGGGGCAGTAAGACAAAGTCCTAATGGCTAGGGTGGTCCTAGCCGGACAACTGGCGGGAAAGCTTACCGGACGGACAGCGCTCTCAATGGCTCTCAATGCGGTTTTAGCAGGTGAAGTTTTCAGACTGGACGCGATTTTCCCCAAACTCTGCTGAGGGCAGCGAACGGCTCTTTAAACCGATCCCCGATGTTAACGTACAGAATCTCGTCAAGTGTACGGTGTCTCCAAGGGAACCTGCTATTTTCGCGCAGGGTTTAATTGCACCGATTTCATGGGTTTACAGAAGTTCCCTCAAAATTAAATCAAGAGATAAATGAAGTAAAATCATTAATGACAGACATCAGTTTGGAATTAGAATCAACAAGAATGCCACTATTCTTGAAGTGGCAAAAATTCATGTCCCCACAAGATTAGAGGGTTTTACGCTCTAAACCACAGGGACATTCAATACATAAAAGATGGGTCTGTTTGAATCAAGCTCTGCTACTTTTATACTGTAAAGTGAATTGATTGTATATTCGCCCAAAAAACATACAGTCAATTCCCTTTGCAGTGTATTCTGTGAAGCGCTTTGCGAAGTCTCGAAGACGTGATAAGGGGCTTTTCAAATGCAAGGATTATTATTATATTATAATACGAGTGAAGAGAGTGAAGAGAGAGAGAGAGAGAGAGAGAGAGAGAGCTCACGATCAGCATCTCTTTCAAACGGTGAGTCTCACTTGAAGGGTTCCCTTTTTAATGGAATAGCAAAAATACCGTGACTGACTTCTGAATTTTATTTTGTTTTTTTTAAAAATCCCTGGACTACGAACCTGGCAAAAATGATTTGTTTAAATATTGAGTGCCTTTGATATACCGTAATCGGGAGAAACTGATTAGGACGTGTTACCATATATATCCAGATGAGGGAGCTGAGCGAACATCAATAAATTCCCCAAACGCTGTGGCGAGCTTATCATTTAAATCAGCATATTAATTCCCTTGCTGATTTCCCCCAAATCTGCAGTCAAAACACTAGTTCTGACAGACAGATTAAACCATGCGTCTGAGATACAAAGTAAGCGAGGCACTATTAATTTCTATTTCATTTTTTTTTCGACGCCCACATAATATTACCCAGTAATTTTACTTTAGCTCTGAATGCAATCTGATCGGGCTTGAACTGCTAAAGTGATGATTGAATAATTTTGTTTTTTTTTTCTCAGGGCAAAAGTGCAGCGCGGTAACTAAAATGGCACGAAGATGATAATCAAAGGCAGAATTCAAGTTCGGGAAATAAAAATAATGTGCAGTCCATTATTTTAAGCGCATCACTGCAGTAAGTTTGAATATTTTATTTAGGATTTATAAGTGAAACCAGCTGAGCACTTCTGAAAAATATTTAGTTGTTGCTTTTTTCCAGTAGTTTTCTTTCTAAGGTAGAGAATCATACGTGCAGAGCTAGTTGGCTTTATCGCATAGGTGGCAGTGTGGGACAGTTGGGTATGATAACGGTTACAGACAGCGAAGAATGTTCCCTCTTTTAAGTCGGGAGGGTGGGGGGAGAGTGAGAGAATATCAACATATCACAGACAGTAATCATCCCTAATTTCTTCTATTTCCCAAGATACTTGTTTAACGATAATAATAATAATCCTTGCATTTGATACAGCGCCTTATCACGTCTTCGAGACGTCTCAAAGCGCCTCACGGGATGTGCTGTCGAGCGAATTGACGGTATATTTTGTGGGCGAAACGCGGCAGCCGATTGTGAGCAGCAGCGTCCCCACAAACAGTCGTGGATTGAAAGTGACCGATTTATTATTATTACTGTGTAAAGACGAGCCCTCATGTACAGGAGAAGAGAATGTTGTGGTTGGCTTGGAGGAGGAAGCTGGGGCATTCGTCCTCCAACTCTTGGGTGTCTTTGTGTGTGAGTGTGTGAATGTGCGTGTGTGTGTGAGTGTGAATTTGTGGGTGAGTGTGTGTGTGTGTGTGGGGGGGAAGGGGTATTAATAGGGAGGGTATGGTTAAACCAAAGTCTCATCTGTTTGTTTGTGTGCATGTTAAAAGATCCTATGGTACTTATTCAAAAAGAGAAGGGGGTTTCTCTTGAAACTTTGGTTAACCGTTTCATTAGCACAAACCTAGATCGTTTTTTCCCGGTTTAAACAAAATTTCTCACCTGATGCCATTCAACAAACAAAATGCACATAGAAACCAACTTCACCTCAAGAGGAAATTTCAGGAAATTTCATGAACGACTCTCAGTATTTTGCAGAAAATCCCCAGAACATTCAAAGACGAGTTTCAGCTGATAATCAAATCGTAGCAGTACATGTTACTGTAGGCGGTGAAAGGACATTTTGATGGCTTCTGCTTGGCTCAGTTGGTAGCACTCTCGGCTCTGAATCAGACCATGTGCGTTCAAGCCCCACATTGGGATTTTGAGCTCATAGTCCACGGTGACACTCTGATGCAGTGCTGGGGAGTTGTTGGAAGAACCATTGTTCAGATGAGATGTTAAAGATCCTATAATAACCCTCGCATTTGAAAAAGCGCCTGATCACGTCTTTGAGACGCCTCAAAGCGCTTCACAGAATATGCTGTAAAGTGAGTTGACTGTATATTTTGCGGGCGGAATGCACAATTCGAAAAAGAAAGGGAAAACATCAGGTAGAGACTCCCTTCTGTCTTTGAATACTGCAGCAACGTAAGATGTTCAACGTCCACTTGAGTGGGCAGATGGGACCTCGGTTTCACACCTCATCTGAAGGTAGCTCTAATGATGCAGCACTCCTCCCAACATTGCAGTGTAGCCTTGACTGTGAGCTTGAACGCTGAATCAGAGGCAAAGGTGCCACCAACTGAAGTTGGCTGATATATTCCTTGTCTCCCTTCA